AAATGGAGTGAAGAAACCAATTAGAAAACCCCAGACCCAGTTACAACCTTGAGCTAAAGACATAGCCTTGGACTTCATTCTCAATGGGTAAGTTTCAGATGTAATAACGAAAGCCAATGGGGCCCATGAGGTGGCGAAACAGAATAAGTAGAAACAGGTGAAGCAAATCATACAGTCACCAGCACCCTTAGAGGAAGGACCGCTCTTACCGTCTGGATATAATCTTGTGACACCAACAGAAGCAAAAACAACAAAACAAGCAGTCATTGTTGCAGCACCCCACAATAGACATCTACGACGACCGAATCTTTCAACAATGAAAATACCAGCAAAGGTAGAAGCAAAGTTAACAATACCAATAACAATAGAAGTTTCGAAAGAATCTGCTAAACCAATAGCCTTGAAAACAGTGGTACCATAGTAGAAGAAATAGTTATCACCAGTCAATTGTTGTAGAGATTGAACCATACAACCCATGAATAGACGTTGGAAGATCTTGTTCTTGGTAGAGAACAATTCAGCCCATGTGGCTTCACCAGCCAACTTTTCGGCTTCTGCAGCAGCTTGCAAAGTAGCAAACTCGATTTCGACAGATGGATCGTCAATTGGAACTTTGTTTGAAATGGAGATAGAATGTTTGGCATCTTGTTCTCTTCCAACACTGACTAAGAAACGTGGAGATTCTGGAACGAAAGTCATACCACCAATCATAAATAGGGCCCAAGCGAAACCTAGACCTAGAGGAACTCTCCATTGGACAGTGTTAGAATAGTTCTTGGTACCGAAATTAGTACAGTAACCTAAGAAAATACCTAGAGTAATCATCAATTGGTAACAGGAAACCAGAGTAGCTCTCAAATGTTTTGGAGAAACTTCAGAAATCAACATTGGGGATAAAACAGAAATACCACCAACACCTAGACCAGAGATAATTCTACCAATGAAGTATTGGTACCAAGCCTTTTGAGTAGCAATGGAAATAATTAAACCAACAATGTAAATGATGACAACAGTAATTAGACCGATTTTTCTACCGTAAATATCACCAATCTTAGATAAGATAACACCACCAATAGCACAACCAATGTTGAAAATAGAGACAATTAAACCAGTTCTGACCTTAGATAGGTAGTGAGAACCATCGTGACGTTTTTGACCTAATCTGTTAACGAAATCAGTTTGGTTAACGAAACCAGAAATGGTACCAGTATCCCAACCGAAAACGAAACCACCGAAAGCAATCATAATACACATGATAGAAACGGTAACATAAGCAGAAGCAGGTTTTACTGGAATGTCAACTAAAGCATCATCACCAATGGCATCTTCATTGATGTCCTTTAAATCATCTCTCTCAGCTTTGTTGGATGGAGTAGAGATAACAGAGTTTGAGTTTGAGTTAATGTCATCGACAGCTTCTTGAGCTGGATGAACTTGATGTTCTGATACGTCAGACATATTAATAATTTAGTATAAAATCTTAATTTATTTTTTGTTAATGTATTAAAATGAAAACTAAATGTTCTGTTTTTTTTTTGGAGTTAAATAGAATAAATATTTGAAAGTAGAGAAAATAAATCATGAATTAAATTTTTAAATCTGGGGAGAACATCCTGTCCTTATATATATATATTTTTTGCAAATTTCCTCGAGTACTTTTTAAAAAAAATTAATACGGGGGGAAAAGTAATTATTCGAAAAGAAATAATTGACAGAAGAGGAACGTTAAGATTTGCTTTTCTGATTAGTTAATTACTTAGTCTCTTCCTATCCGGTTGTTTCTTTTCCCTTTGACAACCAACAGCTGTGTGACATTACTTTTTGTTATCACCCGTTAGCAAAACCGCGCTTCTACGACGGGTCTTTTGTCATCGCCTTCACGACGACGTGCTCTATCAGCAACGCGGAGAAAAAAGCTGGGGCGGTGGGGACCCCCATACCAGAGATCAGGTCGCAGAAAATGAATAGTCCCTCCGGAAAAACACTCAAAATGAAGGCGAAACTAGTAATTGCGGGTTATTTCTTTTCTGGCATAAAGAGCAGCGCCATAACACTCGGCGAAGATTGGAACGAACAGCAATTATAGAAGTTGTTGTGTTATTGAAGTAACGCGGTTTTGTACGATGATATCTTATCTTTTTAGTTTATTTTTTTCCTTTATTGAGGTAAACCCCATATTATTGTGGGACAATTTTCTGGCACCGGTGGTGATGAAGTGTGGGAGGAATATCCGGGGCTTCGCAGAGGTGGATAGATTAATGTATGTTTTTTGACCTCAGGTTACTATTCGTACTGAAAAGTGGTGGATGAAGGTTCCGTTATTACTAATAAGTAAACGGAAACCACGACTTCAATTCCAAATCCAGATTCGTTCCTTTTTTTGCTTCTTCGATAACTTCTTTCTTTTTATTTTATTTTGGTATATGTAATCTAGTGGTAATTTTTTCGTTGGACAAGTAAGATTAGTTAACCGCGGAATACAAGGTAAAATACCCAGCATTTGTCATTGTCAATTTTTTCTATGATTACTTAGTTCTATTTTTTTTATTACAATAGATACCAATAACAAGAATTTTGGTGCATTAATGCACCATCAAGAAATCAATTATTCCTTATGATCTTAATCATTTTTTATTTTTGATATTGTCAGTCAATTGAATATAATATTATACACAACAAGAACTGATAAAGTTAAACAACATAAAATAGATTTTTGTCCCAAGGTCAAAAGGAGTATTGATTACACTTAGCAATAATTTTGTCCCTTCTTGACGTTTACGTATTTGTCAAACCTTAGCATTATCGTAAGTGCCTCAATAACCCTTGTACCCTAACGGAAAATATGAACAAAAGAAAACAACTTGAAGTAACTCATTAAAAATTATCGTTTGTAAATAAGCGTAATCGTGAAAGTGGGGAACGGTCATATTAAGATACGAAAAAAACATTTATCCGAATAATGGACCCATTTGCGCTTTCCATTCCCACCTCGTTTCTTTTTCCGAGTGCTATTATATGTTAGATCTGCAGTCCCTTCTGTGAAGCACGACCCAGTAACAACAATAACAAAATTATTTTTGTTCATTTTCCATAAGGCGCGATTGCGTAATCACTCAGAAGTACCCGCGCGATAATTCTTTGGAGAAAAGGGACAGATAAGAAAAAGAATTTTCTCTTTGGCAATTTCCCTAAAGGGAAATATGTGGGGCAGAAAAAGAAAGGCCTTTCACTCAATCGGAAAAACTTTTTGTTTATTTGCCTTGTCTGCTCTGCTTTTTTCTGATGGTGGTAAAATTTGGAGCGGTTATTTTTTAGTAATCGTCTTTGTTGTTGTGGCATTTCCTAGATTGGTGAATGTCTTAAGTTACGAGCCGTCTGATAAACTGTTTACTAATTTATGAGAAATAAAATGAAATGATGTTGTTTCGTTTATGTTTAATGACTAGGTCTATTAGCTGTTTGAAATATAAACAACTTTGTTACAAGGTTGTGCAAAGGTTTCTGGTCTTGACTTTTATTCACAATAAAGCACGACTGGAAACAATGTAGAAGTAAGATAATTATAGACATCTACCTTAATATAACTACAAGTTGGATAACAACCAGACACGATTTCTTACCATTTCGCACGACAATCGAATCCTCCATAAAACTATCTCATGGGATATTTTCTCATTCTTCTTCATTTAAATGGATCAATAGAAGCCTTCACTAATGCGATATATTCTGTCGGTATTTTTATTAATATTAATATAGTTTAGAGATTGAATTGTGCGACTGAAATGAGATGAGGTGACAAGATAATTATAGATTACAAGTGATATTTTATTTTAAAAACTGGGGTAACTTAATATTTTGCTGGTTTGTACAATATGCATGCTATTGAAGTAAATAAGACATTTCTCTAATGTAAGACTGTTCTCATGTTCCTAACTATCCTTTCTTGAGAACTTGTGGCAAACGATAGAAGAATATATCATATCTTGGAAGAAATTAAACACAACGATAAACTATCTCTAGACAACATTGGGAGAAAGAGATTGAGATATATTTTCTTGAACGTCATGATTGAAGTTATTCCGCATATTGCTTTGTAAAGTTGAGCAAAATCAATGGGTGAATACAATGATTATGATTATGATAATCCCATGCATGATTAGTCCGTTCGTTTAAAGATTTTACAACAAGGCCTTAGGTTTTGTTAATTATTTATAAAACTTATTTATATGTAGTGCCTTCTGCTTTCGTATTGCTTAGGAATATATACTTGGGCTCTATATTAGCCCACGTTCTACATATGTACCACGTCTATTTATTAAACAAAAAAAGTGCTACTAGTAGAACATAAACTGGAAGCATCCACCTTGTAATATTACAGTATCGCCAGTCCTCAAATAAAAATAGAAAACAGAGAAATCTTCATCTAATAAGAAAAAAACCGCTGTAAAAATATATATTTCTCTTCGCTTCTAAATTCGGAACCGTCTCGTTATCCCGGCAAAAATAAAAAATATGGGTGACTAAAAATAATAAAGTTTTATGTGTCAAGAATAAAAACAAAAAATCCTGTAAATCATTTTTAATCTGCATAATATGGAGATATTAAACTATCCCAAAAATAAATATATATATTTTCCTTTCTTTTTCTATACACTTTTTAATCCTAAGAATAAAAATTAATCCGAAAGTGTAAAAAACGCTTGATCTTATCATCAGAAGTATCGTTAAGAAGGTTCAACAATAATTAATTAAAATAGTTGTTTAAAAAATTGTTTTTATTGTTTTCTAAAAAGAAAAATGTCGTTAAAAAGAATTATAAAAACTATTTATTTGTTTAAATATTAAATAGATTCATGAAACATTAAATTAAGATTAGTTTGAGATTATTATTAAAAAGTTACTGTGTTTTAACAGTATTTGAAAATTGTAAGAATTATTAAGAAAAAATGTGAAGCTCCTTTTATATTAGAAAAAAGGATATAATATTTTTATCAGGGAGCTTACAACATTCTCTTGTACCATGGCTTATCATCATGAGCCATAGCTTCGGCGTCGTATTCGGCACCTCTTCTGGATGGAGGAACCCAGCCAGCAGACTTCCATGGTAGAACACCTTCTAGCCACATTTGGTCGACTTCTTCTAGAGATAGACCCATAGTTTCTGGAATGAAGAAGAAAACGTAGAACCAGGAGAAACATAGACAACCCATGAAAACGTAACCGTAGTAGAAATCAATGGCACCAGTAATAAATGGAGTGAAGAAACCAATTAGAAAACCCCACATCCAGTTACAACCTTGAGCTAAAGACATAGCCTTGGACTTCATTCTCAATGGGTAAGTTTCAGATGTAATGACGAAAGCCAATGGGGCCCAGGTAGTAGCAAAACAGAATAAGTAGAAACAGGTGAAAACAATCATACAGTTACCAGCACCCTTAGAGGAAGAACCGCTCTTACCGTTTGGATATAATCTTGTGACACCAACAGAAGCAAAAACAACAAAACAAGCAGTCATTGTTGCAGCACCCCACAATAGACATCTACGACGACCGAATCTTTCAACAATGAAAATACCAGCAAAGGTAGAAGCAAAGTTAACAATACCAATAATAATAGAAGTTTCGAAAGAATCTGCTAGACCAATAGCCTTGAAAACAGTGGTACCATAGTAGAAGAAATAGTTATCACCAGTCAATTGTTGTAGAGATTGAACCATACAACCCATGAATAGACGTTGGAAGATCTTGTTCTTGGTAGAGAACAATTCAGCCCATGTGGCTTCACCAGCCAACTTTTCGGCTTCTGCAGCAGCTTGTAAAACATCGAATTCGGCTTCGACGGATGGATCATCAAGTGGAACCTTGTTTGAAATGGAGATAGAATGTTTAGCATCTTCATATCTACCAACACTGACTAAGAAACGTGGAGATTCTGGAACGAAAGTCATACCACCAATCATAAATAGGGCCCAAGCGAAACCTAGACCTAGAGGAACTCTCCATTGGACAGTGTTAGAATAGTTCTTGGTACCGAAATTAGTACAGTAACCTAAGAAAATACCTAGAGTAATCATCAATTGGTAACAGGAAACCAGAGTAGCTCTCAAATGTTTTGGAGCAACTTCAGAAATCAACATTGGGGATAAAACAGAAATACCACCAACACCTAGACCAGAGATAATTCTACCAATGAAGTATTGGTACCAAGCCTTTTGAGTAGCAATGGAAATAATTAAACCAACAATGTAAATGATGACAACAGTAATTAGACCGATTTTTCTACCGTAAATATCACCAATCTTAGATAAGATAACACCACCAATAGCACAACCAATGTTGAAAATAGAGACAATTAAACCAGTTCTGACCTTAGATAGGTAGTGAGAACCATCGTGACGTTTTTGACCTAATCTGTTAATGAAATCAGTTTGGTTAACGAAACCAGAAATGGTACCAGTATCCCAACCGAAAACGAAACCACCGAAAGCAATCATGACACACATGATAGAGACGGTAACGTAAGCAGAAGCAGGTTTTAGAGGCATATCATCGAAGGCGATACCATTTTCTTGGTCTTCTTCACCTTCTTCTTTTAGTTCATCTCTGTCAGCCTTGTTGGATGGAGTAGATAGAACGGAGTTGGAACCGGAAGCGGTTGGAGTCAATTGAGACTCATTGTTGATGTTTTCTTCAACAGGAGCAGCAGACATACTGAAGTATATATATACTGTTTAATGTGTCTTGTTGATATATTAAAGAGTTAGATTAATAAAACTTTAATTGATGGTCCTTTTATGTAATATAAAATATATGAAATATAAAGTGAATATTAAATAAAATTGGGAATAAGAGAAAGAATAAAATACTGATAAAAGTAGAATATTTCAATGACCTTTTATATCTTTTTTTTTTTTGAAGAACTTTCATTCCTTTTCCTATTTCTCATCCTATTAATTTCTCTTCTGACAACGACCATTTCTTTTCTTTGAAAACTTGCATGAAGCTAACTGAAATTAATTCAATTTTCACTTGAAGGTAGTTCGACCTACAGTGTTTTCTTAATTAAACGAGGGGTGGATTAATTAATAATATTAAAAAAAAACTTATGCAATAATTCATCCTTTGAAAAAGGGAGAATTACTTCAGAAAAAATTGGTAAAAAGTAAACAAAAAATGCTTTTTTTTTTATTTTCTTCCTTAAAGGTTAAGTTCATAAACATATCGTTAAAACAACGTAGATCCCCTCCAGGATAAACAACGTCTAATGTGGGTAAAAAGGGGGGTAGAGTTTCTTTAATAAACCTAAAAAAACAGGAATTACTTTTCAGTCGTTGTTTGTACAGTTCTTTTGTTGCTAATGGATGAATTTCGTCAATTCTTTAAAAGATATGGCGAAATTGTTCTACAACAAAAGCAACCGAGTAGTAACCACTTACAAATCGTTGTATAATGGTTACAATATATTAAGAGATTTAAGAAATGGAAAAATTCATTAGAGAGGGATGTTTACTACTCTGTTTTCTCTGTTGAACAGAAAAAATTGTTCTTTTAATTCTTCTGAATGGCTGTAAGGAGAAATTAAAATATTTATTTATTTTCCATGATTTGGCTGTAATGCGCAGCAAAAATGGTTAAAAGAGTAAGACAGATTTGTTATGCTGCATGACAAAATTACATTTCAACTGTCAGGGAAATTCTGAGGGAATGAAAATTTTTCAACCAAAATATTGAAAAATATTTGTTATTTTTTTTGTGTGAGAGTTACAAAGACACAGCAGCACAGAGATGAAAAAAATAAAAATAAATTATTCGGCGCGGTGTATCTGTTGGGGCCCCACCCCCGCTAATTTTCCACATTATTTATCCCCTACAGACAATTACTTCTGTGCTACGGGGATTTCTCGAAGGTGGGGGATGGGGGTAAACCGGGGGAACTTACATCAAGTAAGTTTTCTCCCTTTTTTTGAGCAAAGGGGAGAATGGAGGAGGAAAGGAGGATTTGCCATTCTTATTATTAGTGGTTTCGCCGGATCTTCCTAAATTATTGTTAAAGGGTTAAGTTGTTACACGTAATGAATGACATTTGGTTTAATGTTATATTATTTTCCTTATCGCCGCTTCTAGCCCGATTTCTCTATGATTGATGACCAAGGATTGTTTGTTCAGTTAGGTTTTTATTTTATTTTTATTGATTTGAAAGAGTAAGAATCATGATTGTTACAAGTTTGACAAGAACTTATGTCAATATTGTGTTCTTGTTCATTTGCCTCAACCTGGTTCCCCCCCACTCTATTCCCCGCGATGTATGTGCATCTTGCTTCGGAGAAGGACATTTGTTGAACACTACTGGCTACTAAGAAATGTAACAAAGCCAATGTTACTCGTGTACGAGATTCCGATAAAAACGTAGAATTAGAATATTTGATGATGACCATAATTCTTGACAGAATGTCACTTGCTACTAGGAAAACGGACATAAGCACCACTCAAAATATTAATTTGAAGCGGGGTTGATTTGCTTGTAATTGTAACTTTCAACCATATATCGATGCCCCCCACTTCACCTGTGGGTAGGAATGTAGTTTAAAATGAAAATTTGAGTATTTAGTATTAATTTACAAAATGTTAGTTATCTTTGTTCTGTTTCCTACCTTAGTAACATCCCCCAATTATGATAAATAAAATTGTTTAATTAATCCGGGGTGCGCCCAATTCTCAGCGGAGTTTATAATTTCCAACTTTTTTTTTTCATTTTTTGGTATATCGCCGAACTCATCGCAGCTGAAAGGGCGCATAAAAAGTTTTGACTTAGGCAATACTTACTCTTTTATTAATATTATTAATTTAATTAAATAATTAATAATTATGTTGATTCGACTGTTCAAATTGTATAGTTATAAAAAAAGTATCGCATCGCTTTTCAAGACCAAAAGTTTTCCCCTTACTCCCTGCTATGTCCCTCCCCCACTATCGCCACCAAATAAACAAGATATACAATCAGAGAACTCCATGAACTCAATGTGTTCACAAAAGAATTTATAGTGGGGGAATACAGACACACTTTAGATCTCTGGAAACTGTTTACTACAAAGGAACAACTACATAATATTTGAATAATCGGGAAATTTCGATTTTTAATTACATATTTCCTTGTGCTACAGCATATTCTCTCCCTCAAGGTGGAAAAGAAAGTAATTTTTTTTTTTTCTTTCTTTCTTCAGTCCATTCTAGTAATTAATTTTTCATTACAAAGTCCCAATTATTTTTTTCAAATTAACAAAGCAACAAGAGATGAGGAAATATATTTCGGCGCTGAAGTGTCTTGGTTACCATAATCACATACTACTTTTTTTTGTTTATTTATTTTTTTTTCAAAATGTCTGGTAATAATAAATTTACTATTTTGTGAACATTAACTAATGAATTTTATTTTTACGAAAGATGGTAACCAACATTTGTTTCAGAAGTAAATTAATGATATGAACCGTAACAATAACAAAACAAAATTCCGTATTTTAACTATTTTTAACATTTCGCGTCTGTTTTAGGACAAATAGTTAAAATTCAAATTTTTGTTTTGTTATTGTTGTTGAATCGTGTCCTAATTGAGTTTTCATTTATTTTGGTTCTCTTGTTTCTTCTTAGCAAAATATAATACTACTAGTTCTCGTAGAATAAATATATAGTCGAAAAAGCAATTATTTGCACCTTGTGTGACCCTTCAAGTGTCTGCGACGTCACACTGAGGTCAAGTTACAAGAAGTGAATTAATCCGAGTCCCAGAATATCCTGTGCAAGCGCTGTTTGGCCCTTGGGTAGAAACTATATTTCCTCTTTGGGAACCAGATTTGTTATTGTTTCGTTGTCATTTTCTTTTCCGTCAAAAAAACTACGCCGAAAGCACAATATGGCCCGTAATTGTACGCTCGTGTCATTGCTTTTCTGCAGTCGGTAAAACCCTTTTGTTCGGTTTTTTCATAGAAATAAATTTTCTGCTGAGCTTTTTGTGCGAGAAGGAGATAATATGAATAATAAAACCGAATCCCCAAAAAGGGACCTGTGTTTTGTTTTATTTTGCCGTCGTTATTGCTACAGATATCTCTTTGATTCTGAAAATAAACGAACTGAAAAAATATTATCCGTGGGTATCATTCACAGTTACATTGTTGAAGGACATTTTAACGACGTAGTTGTTCCGCACAATATCGACTACAAAGATTTGTTCCAGGCCATTTTTGTTGGTTTCTTTTATGTTTGGGAATTCGGGAACTACTAAATAATATCCGTACGGGTGACCAATGTATTCAAATATAATTGCTTTTCTAACGTGTTCAGGTAAGCAATTCAGGCGTCATATACGTTGCTTTTCTCACTTACTTTTTTTTCCTTTGGTTATTTGGAAGAAAAGAAATTATTCCAACCGACTATCTAAAATTGAATAATCTGTTTTTTATTGTTTACCTGCCAAGAAGGCATTGCAATACTTTTGACGTTCTATTACCTTTCGATTTGTTTCAAAAGAAATGGGGGGTAGTACTTTTGTTGAATAAATTCACCCCTCCAGGAAACAATGTAAGTAAAAAGTATATCCCCCACATCAATTCTTCAAGGATTAAATTAAAATCAATAAGAATTAAAATTAAAATTAACCCGGGGTGAAAGAGAGAGAAAGAGACATAGTTTAGTTAGATTAATACAAAGTATTATTATTTGAGTTAATATTTTTGATAGATTACATTATTATTTATTTATTGTTTTACGGAGTAACCATGTTTAGTTTTAAAATAAATTTGAGTTGATGGTATAATATCATTGATGTCTCCTTGTTATTCATAAACAAGTTAAAATAACTTAGATGAGTTAATAAACGTCATAAAAAAAATTCCACAGTGAGAACTGCACCCCACATTGATTTAAAAAATAAATTGATTTTAATTTCGAAAGATAAAAAAGGATGATACTTTTAAATCGAAAATAAATGCCAAGGACATCGAAGTTGAAATCGCCGATGTCGAAGAGAGTAGGTGAATAAATCAAAGAAATTAATTTCTCCTTTCATTGTTCTTTTTTTTGTAAAGTTTTCTGATCTTTTCATACCATCTTCAAAGTATCCATTGTTTTGATATTTATTTGATATTTAAAATATTATTGTTATAGTTGTAAATCTTTTATGTCACTAGCATTTTATTTTCATTCTAATGTAGTTAGACATATAGTTAGAAATATTGTTCAAAGTTATCAGAGTTGTAGAAATTAAAATAATAGGAGTAATTTTTCTAATGGAAATACTATTTGCAAAGTAACCTAGTATCACTTTTGCTTTTGAATTAGTGCAAATATATTAATAAATTCTTATTGAGATAAATATATATATTTTTTTACTATATTAGCTAGATCTCTTGACTTTGATTGTGTGCTTGTTTTTACGATTGAATCTTGAAGTGACAGGATGATTTTATCTCAGTTCAGAAATATTCTTCAGAAAAAGCTTTGACAAGATGTTGTAAGGCTGTATCTTGATTATCAAGGAAATTTTACCTACCATTGTTGTTATTTTCAAAATGGGTTTTTCTCATCCCTCTTTATACTCTACTTAAATATATTAATTTTGAGAAGTCAAATTAAATTAGAAGCCATGAATTAGTTTAACATTCAGAGTCCTGAAAACTGTCCTGACACTCTAACAAAACACGTAGAATATAACAATCATATTTTCTAGTCATTTGACTAGTTTGTTCCAAGTAGACAGGTTAATTTTAAGTCAGAATATAATAAATATTTATATTTATTATATTGTACCGCAAGAAACAAAAGAAAATAATTGTGACTTGACATATTTTTACTTTTTAATTGTATCAACCTTTAATATCTTAAATTATATTTATATATAAAAATTTACTATCAAAAATTTGAGTATTGCTGAATCCCAACTTTCTACAGAACAATAGCATGAGCTTATTAAAGAACAAAACAATAAGAACTATACGACCAATATAAGTCGTCGATAATAATGAAATAAGCTTGTTCACCTTGATGTGAGATGAGCTAATTCTAGTGTGGAAGAGAAAATAAATTAATACCAATTATCTATAAATGGTGTGAACTGCCAAACACAAAATATCATTATATAATATATCTTTTGCATCTTTTAATTTGGGTTCAAAAGAAACCACGAAGAATATATTGTTCATTATTAAAAACTTCAATAAATAATGAACTTTAAAGTGGAAACTGTTCAAAAATGTAAACAAGCAAAGAATACTAATCTTTATCAATATTAATTATTCGTTATTTGAATTTTTACTTAAAGTCAAGGGCTGTATTTGTTATACACACTATAATTACTGACATCATAAATTGTATTTTTTCTCATTTTTATGTCTTGTTCTTTTTTTTTCAGTTTCGCTCTTTATTTACATAATAACAAATGGTGTTGTAAGAATAAATAAAAAGATAAAAGTGACAAAGCTTTTTTCGCTCTCTGATATAATAGAAGTACAAAGAGGGTAACGAATAAAAAGAGACTTGAATTGGATGACTTCAATAATAACGAAAATATATTATAGTACCCTAGAATAAGCGATAGCTGCTCAAGGATATATACGAAGGGTTTAAATAATATATATGTAATGTACAGTTGAGAATACTGTTAAGGTATAGCTCTTATAATGTAGAGTTTAACTGAACTCTACTAAGTGAAAAATTTAACTTATCGATTTAGTTACCCCATAATGCAATCCAATGTTGCGTCACCCCCCAGATCAGTACATCTATATTATTGATCTTCAATCCTTAATTGTAGATGTTTCTTCTTCAACTTTTTCAATTATTTGATTTGCCAGTCGTAAGACACTAGTTGTCAATAGTGGTTTAGTAAGCATACCTGCAATGTTGTGTTCGGACTTTATGTAAAATGGAATACATTGCCCAAACATTGCAGTTTGATGAATAAATTCTTTTCGAAATTCAATATTCTTTAAGGTCGAGTGGTATTCAGTACATATTACTGTTGATGTAACACTTTTATTATCGTCACAAGGTATTAGAGTAGTATTAGAATATTTTCATCTGTAATAAAATAAATGTTGATGAAAATATCTTTTAACGTTCATTTTCTCAAAGTCAAACATGTTTATTTATCATAACTGTGTCAACTAACTAAATTATTTTATGAATTATGTGCATCTTCTCCCGTCTCTATGGCTAAATACATCTAGTTTTCGCAATTTAGGTAGCTGTTTTTGGTGCTTAACTATTAATTCTTTAGTAGTTAGATTCTATAGGAAGGCTATTGCGATATCGTATTCTTCTATGTGTAATCAGATGAGGTCATTTAATGCTATGAATATCCTCAAGTTTTCTAATCTAGAGACCGAAGAAATAATTTGAAATGGACCAAAGTCTGTATTAAGTATTTTCTAAATGCTTTTATTCACAAATATTGCGTTATTTAAGTATATATGTCCTTAATTACCAATTTTCTTGTTGAGGATGATTTTTATGGAAATTGAAGTTAGCTTAATGCTTTTGGAGGTATAGTTCACTATGGATACTTCTTTCTCAACAAAGGCTTCGCATTTGTGTATAATTGCTTCTACGTAACCAGATTTATCTTTATACTTAGGCTTACTTTGAAATAGATTATCACAGTCTTGTTTTTAAGATAAATCTTTTCTTTAAGATATTCTTTCATCTTAGAAAAGAGTATTATTTATATCCCTCTAGTGGAATATTCAGAATTTTAGGTTTCTTAACTCTGTTATTTTTCATATTATTATAATTTCCATATGAAATTACTTTGGAAGAGTTTCATGTAGGTCGTTAATTTCCTTTTCTTCGTCTCTTGTTTCAAATAAGGATTTGTTCAGGCTTTAGTCATTCTCAATCTGTTCTATTCGGACAATTTTTGATTTAATTTTCTCTCTTCCCTTTTGGACTTTCTAGTTCAACTTTTAATAATTCTTAATGTTTTCTTCCTTTGCTCCTCATCATTTCCAGTTGTATCAATTTTCCTATTCAAAGTCATATTTAGATATCGCTTCACTTGACCATTTTCGGTGGAGTTAAACGCCATTAATGATGCTATAATACTGATTCAGTCCTCCCTTGAATAAAAAGGTAGACTTATTTCGTAACTCATTTTGTTTGTCGTGGTTTTAGCCCTTCTTATACCACATATACCAAAGATTGTACACGCACACATATATATAATGAAAAACAATATAAACTAACCATTTTAAATAAAAAACAGAGATAATGCGACATATAACATTATGACTCTTGAAAAATAACAATTCCTTTCTTGATAAATTTATAATTAAAAGATTGTTCAATTAACAAGATTACAACATCTTATTAACCTTGTTGCGGTATAATCAATATAGTTATAATGAAAAGAACTTGCGAATAAATGATTCTTATTTATATATATAGTACACGAAAAATGCCCCATCAACTAGTTTATATATGTATATATAAATAAATCACCACTACACCCTTGCAATACATTAACCATAAAGGAATAAAAGCCACATTTTGATGGATATGAATTCATGAAACAATAATCCTCCAAATACAATATTATTTTTAAAAAATGGTAATTACATGTGGACAATCAATTGTAAAAAGAGAAAGAAATCAATGTATATATATGCTTTTTTATTTCCAGTTATGCTAGCGAGAAAAACCACTATGAATGAAATGACTAGGATTAAATGAAGCTTTTTCTATGCCTGAAAAAGACAATGGGTATAGTAATAATAGTAGTAATAATAATATATAAGGTTGAAGGAAGAACGAATGACCTGTGAAGAGGAGGCGAAACAAAAAAAAAGGAGAGAAAAGAATGGTATGATGCAGTAAATCTTACAGTACTTATAAGTAGATGACTTTCCTCCAATTAATAATAGAAGCAGGAGATACAACACAACACACATTTTCCTTTTCTATCTTTAATCTTCGTTATAGGACTCAGCATCGACAACTTCTGATTGAGAGATAAAAGTGACTTCAGCCCAACCTAGACCCGTAGACTTCTTACCATCATTGACTTGGAGAGTGAACTCGTCGTTGGAATATTGATATATGAAAGGTTTAGTACCTGCGATACCAGAAACAATGTTCTTGACAAAGCCTGGGATTTCTCCCATGACGTCGACTCTTTCTACCATATTTTTCAATGGAGCTTCAATTAGTGCAGTAACTTTATCCTTCTCGGTATAACTTTCATTTTCAATTTGTTCATCAGTGACATTCCTTGAAATACCATTGAATTCCACCTTAATGTTGTGTGGTACAGGCCAGCCAACTTCATCTACCTCTGGATTCAAATGCTCATAGTTGTTATCTAATGAGAGCATCATAACCTCATCCTTAGAGGTAACGACACCGACAGTGACCTTAGTGTTTGCGTATGACTTAGGTGTGATATATTCGATCAACAATGCAGTGTGCTCAGGAGTATGAACATAGACAAAATTCCAAGCTTTAGCAGCATGATGAGGCTTCATACCTTGTAAAGCCATAACAAACATAGAGTAAGCTGGATCATCAACTTCAAAAGTGTAGGTACGGTCTTCGTAAACAACATCAATTTCGTCCTCGTAATCAGAATCAGAATCATATTCAGAGTCGGAGTCCTCTTCTTCTTCTTCCTCATCTTCCTCTTGTTCTTGTTCTTCGGCATCTTCCAAAGTAGTACCTTCTACTTCTGTTGCAAGAACCTCGACTTCATCGACCTCAACAACCTTCTTAACCTTGATAGTACCATGACATGAGTTTCTTGGCCAGAATACATGTCTCATAGTACCCCAAGGAACGTCCAAGTTATCACCATAGTAAGTGGTTGGATCTTCACCAGCTTTAGCACCAGGAGTCAATCTTGTAATATATAAGTCAACAGTAGATCTTTCACAAACATTTGAAACGATATGATAATGAGTATTGTCTTCAGATAATTCAATTGATAAGTCATCGGCGTAAAAATTTGGACCATCGGTTCTAAAATTCTCTAGTTTTGTAGAGGTCCAGAGATTAAGATCCTCAGGTTTTGTAGAGTCATATATTCTGAAGGTGAATTGAGCAGCTTTATGCATTGGAATCACACTGGAATGAATCACTTGAGCGAACCCAACGATACCGGTCTTCAGATCACTAAAATAGAAAGTCACGGTCTCAACATTAGTGTGATCTGGATTCTGCCATGCAAAATCATCACGGGTTGTAGAATGGTAAGGTTGCTTACCTTTCAACTTATCTCCCACAGTGTGAATATATTCTTGACCATATTCTGGTTCTGCAATCCCGGTCACAGCAGAAATATTACCTTGAAGCCACTTTAACATAATATGCAGATCTATATATATTTTTTTCTTTTTGTTTCTTCTTTCTAATTACAATGAATTCGTAAATATATATTGTCTTGAACAAGGCCACTCACTACTTAATCATAAGACATAGTTATAACTAATCCTTCTTCGTGTATATATTACCCAATGATGTGTGGTGGTCCCTTGCACTTCCCACCCAACAGATGAGGCGTATATCACGAAATTTCCTGGTCGCAATTGGTGATGAGCAAAGGATTCAACTGTTTTTTCTTTGTTTTTTCTTGGGTTCTTTTCTTTTCTTTTTGGTGTGGGTGTTGAGTGTCGTTCAAAGTGATGTGCTGCGGCTGTCGTTACAAGTGATGCCCGTCCATTTGAACTTCTTGAAATTTATGGAAATTCGAGGTATTCACTGGGAAAGGAAGAGAGAGGGACAGTAATAAGAACGGTGAAACAGGGGACACCAACACAGTTAAGAGAAGAAGACGTTGGAACTGATTAGAACAGGCCTGTGTGTGTATATATTGTGTTTATTCTTTTTTTAATTTGGAACAAAAGTACTGGAACAGTTACGAACGCAGAAGAAGAAGAAGAAATGACTACGATTTGGAGACAAGCTGTCGGGACTCTTAGTAGTAAGCAACTAACTCGAGGGTTACGTACCCATGCTTTGGCTCATTTGAAAAGAGATGCACCTCTAGAGGGTCTGATGAGTGTACAAGGGCTGCGTGAGGCTTGGTTTGATAGGAGTGACGACTATGTGAGTCGATTGAACCAATTGACTAAGAATAATACAGAATTACAAGAGATGTCTCCCGAACAACTGGTCACTACCCATGCAAAATCTAATAATAAGAAAGATATGGTGACATATGCATCGCTGTTATATAATTTAGAGTTTGCAATGTCCTCCTTACAATCATCAACAAAGAAAATTCCAGGCTTAAAAGAGAGACCAGGTAGCGAAGCATTGTTAAAGACTCCTGATGCCACGATTTCTTTTACTAATGAACCCGAGGTATCTGGGAATAATGTGTTACAACAGGAGTTGATTTCATCCTTTAGATCATTAGTAGAATTCAGAACATTATTATTGAACTCCAATCTTGCAATCTCAGGGGATGGTTTCACATGGTTACTTGCAAGAAAATATAAAAATGCGTTCGGTAATAGTGGGGATTCAATGTCTGCTACTATTGGGGCTGACACCCAATTTGATAAATTGTTTGTGATGAATACTTATAATGCAGGATCTCCGTTCAATTTTGATAGAAGTGGTTTAATGGATCAATTGAAGAAAGAACATTTACAATCTCAAACTGAAACCCAAACAATCGACAATGAATCCACTTTGCTAGAATATGCAAGACAGACCGCATATGTTAATGATACTGTATATATCCCATTATTAGCCATCGATGCATCTCCAAAGGCTTGGTTAACCGACTACGGAGTTTTCGGTAAACAGGAGTACCTTGACAGAGTATGGGAATCTATCGACTGGAGAGTTGTTCAACAAAGACTTCCAAAAAAATCTGCTATTGTATATAATTAAACCAATAAACTTAAATTTTAACTTAGGGTGAGCCAGAGTGATACCTACCTCAGTACCATATTTCACCCTTTATCATGTATATATATACTTATATATTATTCTAAAAAAAAGATCAACCAAAGAAATATAATAACATTTCATCATGTTAATGACATTAGAACGCAGTATACAATCTTTTATATATAAATGTCCGGAATATAGTGCCCACTTACAGAAGAAAAACAACAATAATAGCAGGCCTATAATCTTATGAAAGATTTGCCCGAATGTTGTAAGGGGATTTTAATGTCTTTGGACGGCCTCTTTCCCTTAATGTTTCTTACCACCGACCTTCAAACTCTTCACCCTCTTCAAGAATTTGTTTCCTGTAGAGCTTTTCTTTGTACCAGAGTCAAAACGAACACCTCCACCGGTATTACCACCTAAGTATACATCATCCTCATCATCTCCAAAACTGCTGTGAGTTTTGAATGAAGGAGAGTTATTCCTATTCCTACTGAAATCATTCGGCGTGCGACCTCCTTGTGGAGAAGCGGTCGGACGACTACTTATTGTCATGTTTCTACGTATACTAGCATTATTACCACTTCCATTACTATTGAAACTTGTTTGTCTATACGACATCGATTGACCTCTTTGTATGGTTCTTGATGGTGCAGGGGCACCATCTAAAAATGTAGTCGAGCCCAGACCTGAAGTTGTCGGTCCATGAACTTTTTCAGCCTTTGATTTTGCATCCATTTGCCTCAAACCGTCAATATTAGTTCTAATAGCATCCTTTGATGAATTACCACCTTTGGTTTGATATAAATCATCATCTGCATCATCGACACCAAACACTTCATCAATAGCAGATTTTTTCCTAAAGGTCCCACCAATAGTACTATTTGGACCATCTGCAGGGAATGCCATCACAGGAGCAGCTTTCGAGTTTTTATTTCTATGCGGAGTACAAGCATCAAATGGACCATCATGATGAAATGAACCACCAAACAAACCTGTAACATCTAGTTTATCAATAGTATCTACACCTTTTGCAGGTATTAATTTACTCTTTCTCTTGTCACGTTTTGCAGCGGATGAGGAACCTGAATGACGATGTTCACTACCACGACGATCATGTTGTCTTTCATATGAACTGTGACCATGGCGTGCTCTAGGTCTCTCAGATCCGACATGACCTTCACCACCACGAGAACCTGAAGATGAGATGTTTGAGTTATGTGGTCCAGAATGTGAACGAGATGACCGTTTCTCCTCAGGATAACTTTTACCACTAGTGTCTCTTCTATTATGAGACACCTCATCATAAGTTGGAGGCATATCACGTAAAGCAGATGGAGTCCTCGTATCATCAACGTTTCTTTCTTCAATATATCTCTGTCTCAATTTATCTTTCTCCTCCTTGGCAGAGACATAATGACCACGGTTGGATTGACTATTGTAGTCATGATTACGTAATTGTTCATTACGACGTTGAACGTATTCATCTCCACTATCACTTTCACTCTCTTCATCATCGTCATCTAAAAATGGGTTAGTGGATGACTTACTTGGAGGAGAAGCAACATTGATCCCTGAGGAGTCAAAACTGGGGTTTGATGAAGTGGAATCTCTATTAAATTGATCCCTAGCCCATTCTTGAAATTGTGGGTCGTGATCATACCTATTCGGATTTGCTTCCACGGCGACGGATGTTCTGAATGGATTAGTTGTAGAAAACGGTCTACTAGTACCTGTTGAACTTGGTGTTTGCCATGAACTCTGCATCTTTTCTTCTACTTAATATCTTCAATCAAAAAAACACGTAATGCTGAGAAATACAATCTTTACAACGTGTCAGACCAAATAATTTATTCTTGTAACGACTGTTAACCAACCTGAACTGTAACTGTTTTAAAATAGACAAACACACACGACAGTATATACACAAACTAAAAAATGATAACTGGTCTAATTATAATGTGATCAATGAATAAATTGATTAGAGACGTATCTAAAAATAGCGCACCTTTCTATCTTGTTACCTTTTTATTTATCTGCCAATAAAAACAAACAGTAACTCTACGCTTTCTATTGATTCAAGATGATGTTAAATTTAAATAATAAGAGCAACACTTAGTTTGAATCTAAACTAGAACTGGATCAATACAGGTCCTGTCAAGTTTTCGTGTCAATCAATCAATGGTGTTCACCGGGATCAATCAAAACTTCAACTTCCCAACGCCTCTTCGTCTCTCCCATCTACACCATATGCACATACTGCTATCGTTTGCTTCTCTTCCTCTCCCCCATACGCGCGATAAAGACAAAGAAAGCTTTATTTGTTTCTCTACCACATTTTCCATTTTGGAAAATTTTTAGTAATCAGTGGAAATGTGGTCGTTTTGCACGGCACGTACGGTTCATTGACCACTGATATTAAACCAGAGCACTGGAGAGGAAGGAAGTTGGTATTAATTTGCGATACCATTAAAGTTCGTTTTATGAATGTATATAATGCTATGTATTGGCCCGTACTCCTCCGTCTAGATGATCATGTTCAGTACGATGAGGCCCACTAGCGACGTCATGAGACCTAGTGGTGATATGTCTAAGATGAAAGAACAAACTGTCCGTAGAGGTACATGATTGTCTGGTGCAGCAGCACTAGCAGCACGGGAAGCCGTCGCACTCGACAAGTTTATCGATAGACTATTGAATTGTGTCGATGAGGACTTCGCCGTTGACGAGGTTCTGGACGTGTCGTAGAAGGATCTCGCAGGAGCCGTCACAATACCGTTAGAGAAGATAGTAGCTGTGTATTGACCTGGGATATTGGAACTCAAAGAACTGACACTTGCTGGATATAATGTAAGTAATGAGTCGTTATATTTCTTGTATGTAGCATAGGGGATATAACCCGATTGAATAGCACGCACAGTAGTGGCCACACCGGAGGTACTTGAGTTTGTAGAGGCACCCTTTGTAGTACTGGTACTACTACTACTGGTACTACTACTACTGCTAATGCCACTAATACTACTGGAGATCTGATCAGGACTATTAGCCTGAGCAAGAGCAACTGTACCACCTTCCAAATCCACTGCTAAGTATGCATTACGCAGGAAGGATTCCCCAAGGACATTGAACCCGATGTAACTGTTGGCATAAAGCTTCAAGAAACATGCTGCTTGACCATCTGAGAAATGTGTGGTTTCATTCACACTGGCATCAAAGGTGGTGCTTAGTAAATGCTGTAAAGGAACCTTTATTGTTACCTCATCAAATGTAAAATCGATATGAGCTCCAACTGTACCGACATCACATCTAACTAACCATCTATCTAGAGATTCAACATAAGTAGCACCGATCTGGATAGCAATTTGAATAATTGTACTTACAGGTAAATAACTACCCACAAAACTAGAATCAATCAATACGGGTTCCAAATAATCCTTGGAGGTCATGTTGAGACTTTCTTTATCAACGTTGGTAATATAGATGGGACCCATTGGTAAAATCGGATACCCTGTACTTGCTACACCTGTACTAGTATCCATAAATGGAATCATATCAAATTGAATAAGATCTTTCGTAAACAATATTGGATCCACTGCACCCAATATCAATCTTCCACTACCATCATTCAACATGTTTCCCGAGATTGAAGTTTGCACAGAAGTAGAATCATTGTTTAACCAAAGTGAATAACTGGCACTATCAATAATATTAGCATCCACTAAACTTTTCATAAAATAAAATTCATCATTATCAAAATTCCTATAGTCAATAGCGTTTCCCGGATATGTGATCAAACCACCAAGCCCTAGGACACCCGAATATAGATTACTCGATTCATTAACATTGAGGAAGTAAGGTTGGGAGATTTTCAAATAACTATTAGAAAATGTCACGTTAGTAGTAGTGTTGTGTATTGATTTTGTGAAAGGACTCACAATAGAGGAATCATCATCTGTTAAGATAGTAATATTAGGGAAAGTTAATACATCACTTACTGCGGTTCCATTAACCTCAATACCTTCAATAAAGTTCAGACTATATGTTTCGCCGGGGTTAATATCTACAGCTGTAGATGATTCATTTCGCAAATATAACGTTGTATCTTCACAATTTGAACGATTACCACATTGACTATCTTCTTCTCCTGATAATACCCAACTATATGGGTTTGCTGTATCCAATGCCAACGTTTGTAATTGTCCAGGTGTACCAAACGTTATATTGATATAATAATAATTGTTATTATTCTTACCGACCAATAAAGTTGGAAACTCTCTGACATCTGATCCGACATTTGTAAGAATTTTATCGTTAGTGAATTTGAAACAATTCGTACTGACAACGAATGTAAGTATACACAGAAGAAACGATCGGCAACTTATCACGTAAGTATTATTTTTATTGTTTCCAGTCATAGTCCAATATGTAAGTTATATTATTTTTTTATTGAACTCTACAAAACCAAAAAGGCAATAAATTTGTACCGTTACTAAAGTATAGATGGTACTCTATTCTATCCGAAGTTAATATGATTATTATAGCAAGTCTTCTAGTGCTACTCATATACCAGATATGTCTAAATAGCGAAAACAGTTTCTTCTTGTTACAATCAATACAGAATACCTTCCAAACACTGTAGAACGTTAGGTTACCTACCACAAATAATTGAACAGAAAGATTAAATATCACTTGATAATATGTAAGATTATACAATTATTAATCTTTTTCTTTTATCAATCAGTAATATATATGCAAGACGTCTATTCTTTTCTCTCTCTTGGCTCTCTCGCTGTATGAATGTATTGAAATGAGCCCTTTCCATATTTATTTTCGATGTTTCGGCGCAGCCAGTCAGAGAGATGCGAAGACAAAAAAATGAGATACGATAGATTGTTTTACCTCAAGAGGGAACAGTTGATCAATTGATAAGTTAATGTAACAGACATTCTTTAATGTTGCTGTTGTGGTGAACAATGTCTCAAATATAGACTGTCTATATGATACATTCATTGTTTAGGAAAGAAACTAGCTGTTCTTGTCTGTTCGGCAAGTAACGGAAGCATACTTGTGATTTTTTTTTATTTTTAGTTGAACATCTCTAGTGAAAACACCAAGACACTCTTAATTTCTGCTATTGCACAGTATAGAAACGACACCACTTAATGAGGCGCAATACCACAAAGAAATAGTATCATTAATACATTTACAGGTGAGTAGGTATGGGGAACCATCACATGATTGACGTCTATACATATATGCATAGATGTAAGTGTAAGTACAAAATAACAAATGATCATTAGATAAGGATGCTGTTTTAAAAATACCAAAAGGTACTAATTTATTATGTACCAAATTAAACAGAATGCTGTGAAAAAAAATTCTGAATTTTCCATTTGGTTGAAATATGCTGAAATGTACTTGATATTAAAAGCACATTTATTATTATTACTGTCATCTCCAAATATTGTTACAGTGAACGGTCAAATGCATCATTTAGAGAAGAAAAAAGTTTAACCACGTTAAGTAGGACGTAATAAAATAAAAATTAAGAATAACAGATTGTTCAATTTTATGTATTCTATTTAATAGAATCGATCAGGTAATTTCCAAAATATATAACTTAAAATATATCTGGCTGAGTAATGAGTTTCTATCACCTTTTAAATTAGAATCAAATCGTTCTACAAGTTTGCGTAAAAAGAAAAATCTCTTACAATTCTAAGAAATGACTAACCAACACTGGTTATTTTATTTTAACGTTTAACAAGAATACTACAACTAACCCTCTTCCAGCAACATCTAAAATTATCAGAAATCAAGAGTGAATTATATCACACTTGATTTCAATATAGATATAGAAATACCTTTATTCACACTTACTTATATGTGCCATCACCAGATATCATTACATCACATGATGGCGCATGGTGTGATCGAGGAAATGAAGATCTTTACAAAATGATATAAAAAGATGTTAAACAGAGGTGCTGTTGTTAAACTGCTAATCTTTTGTGCATAGTAACGTTGGACTATGTAGCTCCAATAAACCCAATGTAGGGGGAACGAATACTACATTATGCAGTATATATCATGTGTTATTATATATACGGCAGTGCGGCACACTCTAAATTCTACTTATATTAGCCACCTTCACCTTCAGATAGGTTAAGCTAATGTTAGCCTTTTTAGTGCTGCTGCTACATATTTAACATTCAACACTTTACTTTAACTCTTTAGCCTTAAGCTGATACTAAACCTCTTATATTAATAATGAAAAAATCCTGTTTCAATTTATCTATGCATGTAAACGTAAGTTTGAAATCGAGAATATACGATTAGTATTCGAGTTGAAATTATCGGACATAGTTATAGATATTCAAATGTATAATCTTGTGGTTTATTTTATGTTATATAAAGTAAGTCTATATAAGGAAGATTGTATATATATAAAGTTAGAATATGTGGTCCTTTTATACTTTTGGAAAAGGAAAACAGTCTACCAAATATTGATAGTATTCTTACTAAACATTCTAGAAACATGTTCTAGACACTTATGAAACAATTAGTAATACTTGCTTACTAATCATTCTTAAAGAATGTTCTAGAATCATATTGAACAGTTAGTAATAATTTCTTACTAAACATAAAATTGTAATAACCAAGTATTGCTACTTTCTATATTATAACAATGCAAGCTTCTGCTCATATTTGAATAGATATTCTAAAAATTTAAAATTTAAAATTTAAAATTTAAAATAATATAAATTCATAGGATAAAAGTTTTGTCAATTTTTTAAAATTTTTCTGCTTTTGTAGCTCAGTCGGAAGAGCGTCAGTCTCATAATCTGAAGGTCGAGAGTTCGAACCTCCCCAAGAGCAATTTTTTTCGCGTATTTCCCAAAAGAGAAGTTGTCACGTGAGTTTCGCATTTTCATAGTCAAAGCAACATATTTTCTTTTTTTTGAAAATTAATGAATTTGATGGTCATTTTTAGATGTTTGAAAAATAGGAAAAATCAATATTACATACAAAGTGTTCAACAAATCAATATCAATTATTAATAAAAAGAATACAATACTCCATCCATCGTTCATTAATCCAATTGATAACGAACATTGTAATAATAATATTTATCAAGTCTATAATTAGATTGAGAAAGAAGTGTAGATTAATTTAGGTAATAAAGATGTCTACCGTTGACAGCATTAATCTCATCGAAACAAGACTTAATGAAGGGAACGCAACTCTTCAAGCAAAATACGCGACCCTATCAGAATTATGTGATATCCTAGATGGTGGGTCCAGAGAGGAATATGAATTGTTTATGAGTAAGATTGTTCCTATCCTCTTATCCAATTTAAATGAAATACCAATATCATTAAACAAAAGCTCCACTGGACATAAATTGAGATACTTTATATTGGATATTTTAAACAGATTTTTAATGGCACAGGCTGCTGATGAGGATGTTCGTAAGATTTTAGATATACTGCTGAAAATATTACCTGAAGAAAATGAAGAGAATGGTGTACTATGTATGAAGATTCTTACTGTATTGTTCAAATCTTACAAAAACATTTTACAAGAGAAAGTTGAGCAATTTATTACCATAATTATCCAATTTTACAAGAATGCACCAGAATTAGTAAAAAATGAGTTTAAATCCAATGAAACCAATGATGGCGTAATTTCAGACGCTGACACAAGTGACCATAATTTATTAGATCCCGATGTTGATGAAGAGAAAAGGGAATCCTCTAAATCCAAAGATGAAATCCAACCCAATGGAATAAGTGATGACTTGGACAACAACCAGGTTTCAAAATTAAGAACCACAATGTTTTCCTTCAAGATTTTGTCAGAGTGCCCTATAACAATGGTCACTTTATATTCTTCATACAAAAACTTAACAAGTTCTTCCTTGCTTGAGTTTACCCCGCTAGTAATGGAGTTATTAAGAACAGAAGTTGAACAACAGAAAGAAGCACGTAAAAAGGCTGAAGCAGATGGTAAAAGATTAACATCCGTATCTTCAGATATTAAGAATAGAATAACTTACAGCGAATTAATTCTTGCACAGATTAAAGCAACTTCCTTCTTAGCCTATGTTTTCATTAGAGGATATGCTTCTGATTATTTAAATGAGAACGCTGAGCTGGTTCCAGATTTAATAGTCAGACTGCTACAAGATTGTCCATCGGAATTATCATCAGCTAGGAAAGAATTGCTTCATGCTACCAGGCATATTTTATCGACAAATTATAAATCTTTGTTTTTAAAGAAGCTGGATTATTTATTTGATGAAGATGTCTTGATTGGTCATGGGTTTACCACACATGAGGTGCTAAGACCTCTGGCTTATAGTACTGTTGCCGATTTTATCCACAATATTAGATCAGAATTGCAATTATACGACATTGAACGAACGATTAAAGTGTACACTGGTTATTTATTAGATGAGTCATTGGCCTTAACTGTCCAAATTATGAGTGCCAAATTGCTACTGAATCTAGTAGAAAGAATCCTAAAATTGGGTAAAGAAGAACCAACAGACGCCCCAAAAGCAAAGAAACTACTAATGGTCATTATTGATGCTTATACAAAGAGATTCAAGATGTTGAATAGACAGTATGGTTCAATTATGCAACACCATAGAGTATATACTAAAAATAAATTAGAAAAAGTTAAAGTAGCCCAGCAGTCGCTAAAAACCGAAGATATTAATCCCGATGCCCTAATGAAGGATATTTTTGGTGATTCAACAGACAAGTTAATGAATACAACTGAGCCAAATGTCGAAACTAATTCCGAGATCCTTAAAGTAAACCAGGATAAGGAGGATGATACCAACATGGAAATTGACGAGAATACAGTAGAGACGTCAGAAATTGTTTTAGATATTTATAACATAAATGAGTATTATCCGATACTTCTAGCCCCTGTATCAAACGGTGATCCAATAAAAGATGCATTTTATCTATACCGTACATTAATGTCCTTCTTGAAGACCATAATCCATGATCTAAAGGTATTTAATCCACCACATAATGACTATACTGCAGCCCACGCTAAACTATGGACTTCTGTTTCTAGAGGGTTTTATTATGAAGAAGTTTTAATGTTTAGAGAACTATTTCATGAATGTGTTGTTGGCCTGAAGTTTTTTGCAAGTACAAATGAAAAATCTATCGTACATCCTAAAAAACATTTTGATATTGCCATGCCCAGCCTTCCTGTCTCTGCTACAAAAGACGGGCGCGAATTAATGGATTATTTAGCATTTATGTTTTTGCAAATGGATAGTTCAACGTTCAACGAGATTATTGAATCTGAAATTGATTTTATCTATGAACGTATGTTAGAAGATTCCGCCTTACTACATATTGCTCAATCATTCTTAACAAATGAACTAACTTCACCAAATTTTGCCAGTATAATACTTAGATTTTTGAAATCAAAATTGAAAGATCTCGGAAATGTCGATTTTAACGAGTCAAATATCCTTATACGTTTATTTAAATTATCATTCATGTCTGTCAACCTATTTCCAAACACTAATGAACTTGTATTATTACCACACTTAAATGATTTAATTCTGGACTCGTTAAAATATTCAACAACAACGAAGGAACCACTAGTATATTTTTACCTCATTCGAACTCTATTCAGAAGTATAGGTGGTGGTAGATTTGAAAATCTATATAGATCCATTAAGCCGATATTACAAGTTTTACTCCAGTCTCTAAACGAAATGATACCCACAGCAAGGTATCCACACGAGAGAGAATTATATGTGGAATTGTGCATAACAGTACCTGTAAGATTAAGTGTCCTTGCTCCATATCTACCATTCCTAATGAAACCGTTAGTATTTGCGCTACAAGGACATGCAGAACTAATTTCTCAAGGTCTAAGAACCCTAGAACTGTGTATTGATAATTTAACCGCTGAATACTTTGACCCAATAATTGAACCCGTCATTGAAGATGTAACGAAGGCCCTCTTTAAGCTGTTGAAACCACAACCTTACAATCATACCATTAGCCACACTACAGTTAAAATTCTAAGTAAGCTTGGTGGTAGAAATCGTCGTTTCCTAAGAGCTCCACATGATTTGAAAGAAGGAAACGAATTGGACTTAGAGATAAGCGCATTATTTAAAGTCAATGGCTTGACTGAAGAAATTCCACTATCTGTTACACCTGCTATTAAAACAGCTCTAGATACTCTAGAAAATTATAAATCAAGTGTTGACTATAAAAGGAGTGCGTTTAATTATATATCGAATGTTTTATTATTATTCATTAAACCCTCAACCGATTTTCCAGAATCTTATGTTAGCGACATCAAGGAAGCTTCAAGAATTTATCAAATAGAGAAGTTTAAAGTTCCAGCAGATTATAATACTTATCCTATTGTTGACCGAAACATGTTCTCCAAACAAGAGGAATTGGTTGTTAAACTTCTAGAAGCATTATTTTTGGCTACATCAATAGAGGAGTTAAGAGAAGAAGCTACTACTATTATTAATCACGTTGTGGACCATTTTTGCTTATTACAAGTCAACAACACATTACTTAGAAAAAGATACATCAGTAATACATTTAACATTGACATAAAGCTCCCAAATTTATCGTTTAATAGCAATATTCTTGTCACTGCAATGTCTACAGCTTTATCATGTTATATGCTACCTGTTAGGGAAGCTACTATAAATGGAATCAAAAGAATCAACGAAAGGTGTATGATAATTTATGAGGAAAAATCTGTATTTCAATTTTCTCTACTATACGATTTAATGAAGCAATTTATGCATGATTGTTATAAGGAGAAATTTTACGAAAAAGAAGCTGGTATACTTGGTATAAAAACACTTATTGAAGATACATGTGTGTCAACAGATGTGCTGAAAAAACTCCAACCAGATTTAGTAGCGGGATTTTTATTTGTACTAAAAGACACACCAGTTGGCGCCCCTGTGACTATTACTAAGGGTGCTGAGAATCTGTTGAATCAAGTATTAGTGTTGACATTTGATAATGTTACCGAGGCAGATCTTGAGTTGAAAGGTATCCAACATACCTTAACTGATATTGTCTGCGAATTAGGAAATCCACATGAAAAAGTTAGACAAATCTGCCAATCGAACCTTACAGTCATAAGTGAAAAAACTAATATCCCTATTGTAAAACTAATGGATAAGTCCAAAAATTTCTTACTTTCACCCATTTTTGCTAAACCACTGAGGGCACTTTCGTTCACAATGCAAATTGGGAACATTGATGCCGTTACTTATTGCTTAGGTCTTCCAGATACATTTTTAACATTCAACGAAGAATTATTTAGGCTCCTACAGGAGGTTATCGTTTTAGCAGATGCAGAAGATGAATCATTATCTACCATTCAAAGGGCAACAGAATACGGAACTTCTGAGCAATTAGTTAAATTAAGAATAGCATGTATTAAGCTACTGATTTTAGCATTAAAAAATGAAGAATTTGCCACTGCTCAACAGGGTAATATTAGGATCAGAATATTAGCCGTTTTCTTCAAAACAATGCTTAAAACATCACCTGAAATCATTGATACCACATATGAAGCCTTAAAAGAGGCTCTAGCTGAAAACTCGAGGCTACCTAAGGAATTGTTACAAAATGGTCTGAAACCAATGCTAATGAATTTATCTGACCACCAGAAACTGACAGAATCTGGACTATATGCATTATCAAAGCTATTGGAACTTTTAATCGCATACTTTAAGGTGGAGATTGGTAAAAAGTTACTAGATCATTTAGGAGCATGGTGTACATTTGAAGTACTGGATAATATATTCGGTCTTGATATAATAAATCAAACTCCAACAAAAATTATTTCTAGTATTATAAACATCTTTCATCTTTTACCACCTAGGGCAGATATGTTTTTGAATGACCTTATGGTTAAAGTACTATTTTTGGAGAGAAAACTGAGATGCCATTTAGATTCACCCTTCAGAACTCCTTTAGCGAAGTACCTGAATAGATTCCATAGTAATGTTATAGAATATTTCAAACGTAACCTGGCTCCTAGACAGCTGACACTATTCATGTGCAGTATTATTAAAAGAACAGAGGCTAAAGATTTGGCTGCTGATTTTGAAAATGAAATGCTAAACTTCTACAACTATTATATTGAGAATATACCATCTAATGAGGTGAGGGTTGTTAGTTTCTTTGCTAATATGATTGACTTATTCAATACTATGATTCAGATTAAGGGAATAGAATGGCTGAGGGATCAGGAAGAAATGATTTTAAAGTTACAATCTATGCTTACTCTTACACTAGAACTGATCAAGAAAAGATCCTTCTACATTGATGGGTTACAATTAAGCCAAGCAATTGAAAAGTATGAGAACATACATCTGCAATATATCAAATTTCATCCTGAAAAAACTACATTATTATTTGAATTCATCCAATACACGTACACAGAGGATATTTTACTATCACATCAAATCGAGGATTATGTATTTTCCCAGATTGTTAAAAATGAAGATACAGAATACCAAAATACTAGTATACAAGATGCATTAACGTTTGCCTTAGACAGTAGCAACCTAAAGACCCGTATCTTCTTGTTTAAAAAAGTTATAAATGCTAGCTTAATATTTGACGCTGTGTCAAACGGTTCATTGGATAGATTGATCGGTAATAATAGTAGCTCTAAACTCATCAAGTATGTTGCGACTCACGTTTGGAAAAGTAGTAATGAGAACTTATTCTCAAATGTTGCAGGTGAATTAGATGGTTTCAGGTTTGAATTACTTCAATTATCATCGATATTTATGAAATGGAAACCAACCGCGTTAGACGAATATAAAAAAGATTTTATCAAGTTTAATTGGCATTTCATTAAATTAGAGGATACGCTCTTGAAACAAGCTGCATATCTCGTAACCTCTTTTATTATCAAGGAATATGATTTCCCATTAAATGTCGTGGTACAGATTTTTGTCGCTTTATTAAGGAGCCCTCAGACTGAAGCCCGTTTCCTAGTTAGCCAATCCCTAGATATGTTGGCTCCAGTGATACATAAGAAAACTATAACCACAGATACACCAAATGACTGGGTAAGCTGGGTAAAAAGAGTAATGTTCGAAAATTCTTCGAACCAAAACAGCACTTTATATCAGTTTGTGATTAATCATCCTGATCTATTCTTCAAGTCACGTCACTTATTTATATCAAATATTGTTCATCGCATGAATAAAGTAACCTTTATGCATAACGTTAATCCAGATACTCAAATATTATCAATCGATCTCGCTTCACTTATATTAAAATGGGAAGAAATGGATTTAGTTTCTCACAAGAAAACAAGTGTGGATGCAGATGGTGACATTGATATGGATAATAGTACTGTTGCAGAAAGTGTAAGTACTATGGTTACACCGGTAACTCCTCGAAGTTCCATTAGTTTGAATCTACGCGAGACCTGTATATCTTTCCTTATCCGTTATATTTGTGCAAGCGACCATAGGGCGATAGACAATGAACTTGGGGTCAGAGCCATTAACATTCTTTCAACGTTATTATCGGAAAACTACTGGTCTGACGTCAATGTCAAATTATCTTATTTTGAAAAGTACTTATCGAATGTAGACTCAGGCGCTGAAAACACCGTATACTATTGCATCAATACATTGGATGTTCTGTATATATTTTTCAACAATAAACCTAATGAATGGGTTATTGAAAATTTGACAACAATACAATCGCTGCTAGATAAATCAATTAAGTCAAATCATCATGATATCCAAGAAACATTGGTCAAAGTACTCAATTCGATTTTGAAAACAATTAAGGAAGAGAATACGTTATCCAATTCAGAGGAGGAGAATCCATCGTCAGAATTCATAAAATATTTAGTATCTGTGATTAATCAAGATTTACAAGGTGCATCAACAATAGCAGCTGGTGTTACACTAGCGTGGACACTGTTTGTGAATTTCCCTGAACGCGTTGATCCATTATTGAATTCGCTGATGAAGTCATTCAACAAGCTTTGTAAGGATCATTTGAGTACATCGCAACCGAAGGACGCCGTTACAATGGAAGAAGCAAAAATCACAACTAAATTACTCGAGAAATTACTATGCTTACTATCAATGAAAATTGCATCTTTGGGAGATACACGCCGCCCCTTCTTGTCAACAATTGCTCTACTTATCGATCGTTCAATGGATCAACGTTTCCTAAAGAAAATAGTATGTCTATCCCGGACATGGGTTTTCAACAATGAGGTATTCCCTACAATTAAAGAAAAAGCTGCTATATTGACAAAAATGCTAGCCTTCGAAGTGAGAGGGGAACCTTCCCTTTCTACTTTAGTATATGAGATAGTATTAGAACTATTTGAGAACAAACAATTCAATAATACTGAAATTACTGTGAGAATGGAACAACCTTTCCTCGTTGGTACAAAGACTCAAAATATCGAAATTAGACGGAAATTTATGAAAATTTTGGAAGGAAGTTTAGAAAAGGATATAAAAGAACGTCTTTACTACGTTATACGAGACCAGAATTGGGAATTCATTGCTGATTATTCATGGCTGAACCAGGCTTTACAATTATTGTATGGTGCATTTGACGAAAATCATAATTTAACTTTGATTAACACATTTGAAATATCATCACCAAAACAGTTACACGAATTTTTACCAGAAGATACGAAACCTGCTGATTTAACAATTCCAAATGAAAGTGATTCAAAACTAATCAAATTTATTAATGAACATACCTCTGCCTTGTCGAAATTATGTGATGTCTCAGCTGGTGACATATTTAAACCAATGGTTGAATTATTTTACGAAGATCCAAACGCTATTCAGAAGGCTTGGGTAAATATATTCCCTCAGATTTATAAATGTATTCCACGTAACGAACAATACGGATTTGTCCGCTCATTGATAACTTTGCTTTCCAAACCATACCATTCCAGACAAATGTTTAATAAACCAAATGTTATTTCAGTATTATTAACGTCAATCAGCGATATCGATAGCTTAGAAATTCCACCTCATCTTGTCAAATACCTAGCAATGTCTTATAATTCATGGTACCAGTCATTGAAGATTTTGGAATCTATTCAAGAAAATAATTCAATTGACAACTCTAAGATTATCGAGGCCAACAATGACGCGTTATTAGAGCTATACCACAATCTACAAGAGGATGATATGTTCTACGGTCTATGGAGAAGGCGTGCAAAATATAACGAAACTAACGTTGCGCTATCCTATGAGCAAATCGGTTTATGGGATAAAGCTGAACAGTTATATGAAGTTGCGCAAGTGAAAGCACGTAGTGGTACTCTACCTTATTCTGAATCGGAATATGCCCTATGGGAAGATAACTGGATTTTATGTGCTGAAAAATTACAACAGTGGGATATACTAACAGAATTGGCTAAACATGAAGGATTTACGGATCTATTATTAGAGTGTGGTTGGAGAGTTGCCGATTGGAAATCTGATAGAGAGGCACTCGAACAATCTGTGAAAAGTGTAATGGATATCCCAACACCAAGAAGACAAATGTTTGAAACGTTTTTAGCCTTACAGAATTTTGCTGATACTGGTAAGGGTGATCAAGATATTAGAAGACTATGCGACGAAGGAATTCAGTTAAGCTTACACAAATGGGTTTCTCTTCCTGACCGCTATACAAACGCACATAAATGGTTATTGCATGGTTTTCAACAATATCTCGAATTTTTAGAAGCGACCCATGTTTATACTATTCTTCATTCAACTACTGCCCAAAATATTGATTCTAAGGCTCAAGAAGTGAAGCGTGTCTTCCAGGCTTGGAGGGATCGTCTACCTAACATATGGGATGATATTGATCTATGGAACGATCTTGTTACTTGGAGACAACACGTTTTTCAGGTTATCAACAACGCCTACTTGCCATTAATCCCTTCACTACAACAAAACAACAATAACAATATAATAAACACTCACGCCTACAGAGGTTACCATGAATTAGCTTGGATAATCAATCGTTTTTCTCATGTTGCACGGAAGCATGACATGCCAGAAGTGTGTATAAGTCAACTTGCAAGAATTTATACTCTACCAAATATTGAGATACAAGAAGCATTTTTGAAACTACGTGAACAAGCTAAATGCCACTACCAAAATATGAATGAATTGACCACTGGCCTTGATGTTATTAGTAACACAAACTTAGTTTACTTTGGTACTGGCCAAAAAGCAGAATTTTTTACATTAAAGGGTATGTTTTTATCCAAATTAAGGGCATATGATGAAGCCAACCAGGCATTCGCAACAGCAGTACAGATTGATTTAAATTTAGCAAAAGCATGGGCCCAATGGGGTTATTTCAATGACAACAGGCTATCTGAAGAACCCAATAATATTAGTTACGCTAGTAATGCTCTAAGTTGTTATTTACAAGCTGCAGGTTTGTACAAGAATGATAAGACAAGAAATCTCCTATGCCGTATCCTATGGCTAATAAGTATCGATGATGCATCTAATTCATTAACAAATGCATTTGATTCCTTTAGGGGTGAGGTTCCAGTATGGTACTGGATAACATTTATACCACAATTGTTGACGTCCTTATCTCACAAAGAGGCTAGTATGGTTCGCCAAATTTTAATTAGAATCGCAAAAAGCTATCCTCAGGCACTACATTTCCAATTACGTACTACTCGTGAAGATTTTGCAGTTATCCAGAGACGTACAATGGCAGTTTTGGGTGAGAAAGGTGAGGCAAACAATTCTCAGGAAAATGCAGCCCAACGTCAACCCTGGGAACACCTACAGGAGTTGAGCAATATTTTAAAGACAGCATATCCATTGCTTGCGTTATCATTGGAATCTCTAGTAGCTCAAATAAATGAAAGGTTCAAGACAAGTCCCGATGAAGATTTATTCAGATTGATTAATGTTTTATTAATTGACGGTACTTTTAACTATGGACGTTTACCTTTACCTCGTGCTAATTCTCAATTACCTTCTAGTACAGAAACAAACCTCGTAAGGCTATCCGAGACATTATTAGATCCCCATATTAGACCAAAATTTAATACTGATTTTATAGATAGCAAACCTGATTTTGAAACTTATATCAAGAGACTACGTTATTGGCGTAGAAGATTAGAAAATAAATTAGATCGGACACCTAAGGTGGAATATTTGGAAAGAGTGTGTCCTAACTTGAGTAGTTTCCATCATCAAAAGTTTGAGGACATCGAAATACCTGGTCAATACTTATTAAACCATGACAGTAATGTCCACTTCATTAAAATCTCTAAATTTTTGCCAGCCGTTGATTTTGTACGTAGTACACTAGTTTCGTATAGGAGAATCAATATACGTGGTCACGACGGTAGTATCCATTCATTTGCTGTGCAATCACCAGCTGCTAGACACTCGAGACGTGAGGAAAGAATGTTCCAATTATACAGATTGTTGAATAAGCTTCTGGATAAGCATGTACAGTCAAAACGTCGGAATTTACAATTCACTTTACCAATTGCAATTCCTTTGTCGCCACAAGTTCGTATTATGAATGACAAATCATCATATGTGACATTACATCAAATGTATGATGAATATTGTATGAAAGCTAATATTAATCCCGATGAGATCCAGCAGTTCGTGAATGATCAATTAAATATTGCACATGATAAGTCGCTACCACCTCCTGATATTACACTAGTCAAAATGGAAATATTTAGTTCCATTCATTCTATGTTTTTGCCTACAACTGTTCTAAAAGACAGCTTTTGTGCACTGTACCCAGAGTTTGAAGATTTCTGGCTCTTCCGTAAACAATTTACATCCAGCTATGGTACAGTCACTTTTATGACTTATATGATGATGATCAATAACCGTACTCCAAGCAAAATATTTGTTGATAAACAGTCTGGTGATGTATTTACTTTAGAAATGTTACCGTCAAGATATCCATTCGAGAGGGTCAAACCACTATTCAAGAATTTGGAATTGAACTTACCTCCTGATGCACCAATATTCCACAACAACGAACCGGTGCCTTTCAGATTAACTCCTAACATACAGAAATTAATTGGGGATTCTGCCCTTGAAGGTATTTTTGCCGTCGACATATTTACAATATCAAGAGCATTATTAGATCCAGAGAATGAATTAAATAGTTACTTGACGTTATTTATTCGTGATGAAATTATTTCATGGTATAGCAACATGCACAGACCAATAGTTGAAAATCCACAATTACGTGAAATGATACAGTCTAATGTCGATTTGATAATTAAGAGAGTTTCTCAGCTTGGTCACTTAAGCTCCACTCCTACAGTTACAACCCAATTTGTTCTAGATTGCATCAGTGCCGCTGTGAACCCTAGAAATTTGGCTGGAACAAACATCAGTTACATGGCGTGGTTCTAGTTGTTCCATACTTAACGTACGATTTTACCACTCCACTTTACTGTTTTCACCTATTGTATTAACACGCTTAGAACCGGAATTTTATTTCATATTTATTGTAGAACATATATACTGTTCAACATTGTATAGTAGGTATTTATAAACATATATTAAATTATTTTTAAAAAAACAATTTATTATTATTATTATGATTGTCTCTTAATAATTATTGTTGTCTATTTTGAAGGTTTTTACAATTGGGGAATATTAACGTTTTGTAGGGACAGATGCTTTGTATTATGCAATTATTTACAAGAGATCTTTATATATGTTTAACAACGGAGAGCAAATCTGATATATCATTACTAGAAATATGGGTATCCTCAAAAATAAGTGAGTCTAGTTCATCACTAGGATTGCTGATATCAACATTTATATCATTATTGTTCAAAATTTCGGTAGATAAGTCTTCTGGTAAAGCCCATTTATATTGTTGGGCAATATTAACAATAGTACGATGCATGATTGGGAATTTACAATACACAATCTTATTATACCAGGAGTGTGCTGTATCTATATCATCCCATTTCACATATCTCAATACCATAGAAGTACAAATCTTAAAGGTAAGCGGAATATTGTTTTGTTTCATGCAAGCTAGTACCTTTTCCACTTGAATCGGGGTTAAACCTAAGTTATCATACAGAATAATTGAAAAGGGACAGTCTTTACCTTTATTTCTAACTTTTTTCGCAAAAGGTTTTGAATAAAAATCCAAAAGGAGTTCATATGCTAGCTGCTTATCCTCTAAGTGAGATAAAACACTTGAAATGAAACATTTGATTATTCGAGAATCATTTTTCCATAAACACTGTTTTTTAAAATTTTCTTCCATGAAAGTAATGTAGTTCATATATAATTGGATTAAGAATTCCCGATATAACTGCATACCCATTGTAAGAGAGCTAGTCGAAAAAAGAGAGCTATAGAGTTCTGAAAGAGGCAGGGATATTTCCTCGAGTTCTCCATGTAGTGACCTTGGTATTAGATTTGACATCCCATGAATATCCTGTATAAGAACCTCGGCTGATACTTTACGCCCACATGTTGAATGGAATATGGTTCCCCATAGTCCCAAGTTATTAAGAAGTTCACCTGGATTTGGTTTCTTAATGACTGATATTAGAAATTGACACATCAATTTTGGGTCATTGAAATATCTTAGTGACAATACTAATTCATTGAGGATCATATTTTTAAACATATACGTTTTCGGTATCGTTGACATTCTACCAACTGTTGATGCCAATTGGAAAATAGCGTCTTGATCTCTTTTAGCCCGTAGTAAACGGAACATCTGAACAATTGGACGATGCATCAGTTTACCAAAGCTATCCTCATCGATATGGGGACTGTCTTTCATGAATATTATCAGTGATTTTAAGAGAGATGTAAACAATTTTATATCCTCTAATTTTGTAGTTATTGCAAGTGTCTGTATAACAAACTTTACAAACTGTATTGCTAATTGTTTTCCATTATCTTTACCTCCTTTACTTGTGACATCCTTGTAATATGAAAGTTTCTTCACCAATGCTTGTAGATAGAAAGATAAATTAGACTGTGAAAGAGTGTCCTTCTTATTTTTATTAATCGTCAAGTTAATAATATTATATATATCATAGAAATTATGCAATTTAACAAATTTCTCCATTGTAACCTCTGGCAAAGGATATTCATCAGGTCGCAAGAGAAAATAATCGAAAGTCGCCAGTTGATACTCTAATTCTGATCCTTGAATTAGCCTAGTAGTGAATAACCTTGAATAAACCCCAGTTGATAAATTGACATCGTTCTGTATCAAAAACATATAATGTTGAAAACCACTTGATTTTGAAAGGTTATCGTAAAACCATTTATGAATTGAATCTGGAATTGTCAATGCACTACCTAGATTCTTAGATGGAAATAACATATTCTGAATATATATGGCTTCATATAATAACCTTGATGTTTTCTCTATATTAGATTGATTTGATCTGTCTACCAGTAGCTGCAAATATTCTGCAAATAACTTATACTGATAGCGTGACCCTCGAGACTGCAGTACCATATTCAGATAGAACGGATTATCTGAGATATTGATCAAATTGTTCTCAATCTTATTATATTCTTCTGGGAACTGGGTAATTAACAGATCTTTTACCATTTTCATTCCTTTCACATCCTGGACATTCACAAACCATTTTCCCAATTTAACCAAATCTGGAGAGCCTTGTTGAAATAGGGACTCCCTGGATAAGGTTTTCAACCAAGTAACCATATCAAGTCCAGTGGTCGTTGTTGTTGTTGTTGTTGTTGTCCTAGTAGCTGTTGAGTTACCTCGCACCGCACCCAAAAATAATCGACAACCATACCTCCATTCTGGCTGAGATAGCAATTTCCTTGATAAATTCATCACACAATAACTCTATAAGGTGCTCACCATTAATATTCCTTTGTGGTCTCCTCCTTTTCAATTATACCTGTTTTTGACTCCTTCTCTCAAACTTAAATATATAAAATCCGTAGATTATAATTTAAAGATAATTTTGTTATCTCGAAAATTAGATGTTAGGCTGTAACAATTTTTAACAAGTTCCAAGATTATATCAAAAAGCCAAGAAAGGGACAACAGAGGAAAGTTGAACCTGTATTGTGAGACTACTAACGTGACTGACCATATCCCAAACAAAATGCTAAGCTATACTTTTGTACAAAAGTTTGGTGAGGTAATGAGCCTGAAAAACGGGAATGTGACTCAATGTACGCAATCACATTGGCCTTTAGTCTCTGAGATCAGTGGATCGATCTCATTCTTTGGTTCATTTGTGTCCTTATTCCCTCAAATTATAGAGACATACAAAGATAAGAGTGTTGCTGGGCTATCGCCATTATTTCTGTTATGCTGGCTATGTGGTGACATCACATCTTTAGCAGGGGCACTCATGACTCATCAGCTGATGTTTCAAGTGGTACTAGCATTATATTTCTTATTAAATGATTCCTTTGTTTGTGGACAATATTATTACTATGGGATCTTATACAAAAATACATTGGCTACAGTGGGTCATGAACCTGGTCCTGTGCTGTCACATTTACCACATGCCATTGAGAACAACGGTACTGGTGTCACTACGGATAACTTAGAGAGCTTGATAGATAATACAACTTTACCAGAAGGTAATATGGGGGACATTGAACGCACAACATCACGAGGAACTCGAGGAAGTAATCGTAGTAGACGAAATTTATTAATTGCTGCGGTATCTATTGCTAATCAAGTTCAAAGTGCCAATGCTTCGAAAGTTCATACTACAACTAATAATCCAGGAAGTGGAATCGTGTTGTCCTGGTTTGGGGCATTCTTTTATGTTGGTGCTCGTATTCCACAACTAATCAAGAATTATCGTCGTAAATCTACAGATGGGTTATCCCCCTTATTATTTGCAACAACTCTGCTTTGCAATATTACATATTGCTTATCAATTTTTACAAGTTGTAGATTTATTGACTCCACAGACAAATGGGCTTTCTTTGATAACGCTTTACCGTTCATTATAGGCAGTGCTGGGACAGTAGTGTTTGATCTAATATATTTCTATCAATACTACGTGTTGTATTCTACAGACACTAAATTGAGAGCCATTGAGCGTGATATATACAATGAGGAATCTTACGAGGATGATAACGTCGAAGATGGTGAAGACACACCATTGTTGAGAACATAGAAAATTCCATTATTTTTCTTTTTCGTTGCTATACTAGCAACAAAACTTCTGGCCCTCCTTTGATCTTTTGGGCAAATTATGAATTCGATCTATCAGGGAAGAAATGAATGAGAAACAGAAGTCTCCTTCTTCACCCTTTCTGTATTATTACTATTTTGAATAAGCTTAAAAAGATTTCGCAGGCAAATTCCGAAAATCGGTGATATCCCTTCACCCCCCTCGATGTTCCTGCAGATCAGGTCCGAACTTCCAAATATGCAAATATATATATAGTAGAGGAAAGGGGTACATAAAGGCCAATTATTTGAAGTTAAACCCTCTTTAGATATATACTTTATTTCTGAATATATTGATTTATACATATATATCGTTTGCATCACAAACATACATCACAACAACATACGTAATACTAATACAATGGTTCATCATAGAGTTACAATTATTGGTTCAGGACCAGCGGCTCATACTGCTGCCATCTACTTAGGCCGTGCAGAGATACCTCCTACGATGTATGAGGGTCTTATGGCCAACGGTATTGCTCCTGGCGGTCAATTAACTACCACCACAGAGATTGAGAATTTCCCCGGTTTCCCAGATGGTTTAATGGGTGGAGAACTAATGGATCGCATGAAACAACAATCTGTGAAATTCGGTAACAATGTTATCACCGAGACAGTCTCTAAACTGGATCTATCATCTAGACCATTTAAATTATGGACCGAGTTCAATGAAGATGCAGAACCTGTCACTACAGATGCTGTGATCATTGCTACAGGTGCGTCTGCCAAGAGATTGCACTTACCAGGCGAGGAAACATACTGGCAGCAAGGTATCTCAGCATGTGCTATTTGTGATGGCGCTGTACCTATCTTTAGAAACAAACCACTTGCTGTTGTGGGTGGTGGTGATTCGGCTTGTGAAGAAGCTCAATTCTTAACCAAATATGGTTCCAAAGTCTTTATGATTGTTAGAAAGGATCATTTAAGAGCCTCAACAATCATGCAGAGACGTGTTCAAAAGAATGAGAAGATTGAAGTTGTCTTTAACACTGTTCCTTTGGAGGCTAAAGGTGATGGTAAATTCCTTAATGCAGTTGGTTTAAAGAATGTTCAAGAGAATAAAGAATACGATTTACCTGTGAATGGTCTATTTTATGCTATTGGACACAGTCCCGCCACAGAGATAGTTAAGGGCCAAGTCGACATGAATGATGCTGGTTACATCAAGACTGTGTCTGGTTCTTCTTTGACGTCTGTTCCAGGTTTGTTTGCTGCTGGTGATGTCCAGGACTTCAAGTACAGACAGGCCATTACATCTGCAGGGACAGGTTGCATGGCGGGTCTGGATGCCGAAAGGTTCATTTCTGAACAGGACTAGTCCTGCTTTCCCTGAATAGTATAGTTATATATATATATACATACTTATATATTTGAAGTAGTATATAGTTCATTCATTAATGTATTCGTTCACCTTGTAATATGATGAGTCAAAGATTCTGTTCCTTTTTTTTCATTTTTTGGCTGTGAATTTACCAACCGACGCCCAAACTTGAGCGAGAAGAGATTCTAGCAGTCCAACCATCACATACTTGGATATATATTGAAATAAACTGAAAGAACTGAAAGATATAGTGAGCGAAGGTGTCTTGATTGATTGTATCTGCTGGTAATACTTGAGATTGCGATACATATAGATATATAAATACAGTTCAACTATGTCTGATGTAAATTTGGTGAAGTTCACGAAGAAACTATTACCTCCAAACGATGGGAAGAACCTCACACCGTCTGAGCTACATGACGCCATTGTCACTATCATGAAATTACTAAAGGGGCTAGGTACTACTGGTGCTGGTGGGGTTCCTGATGATGTGGAACAGTTGCCATTGCTAGTGAAAATTGCTAGTTTCTTAACAGCTCTAAGAACTAGTGGTTTGGACCATAAAGCTGCATACATTGCTGAGGCTGCCAAGGCAGTCTTAGCGTTCTCACGATTAGTAGATTTACCCATGGTATCACAAACAAATGGGAAGATTAATATCCTAGATATTGTCGGAACAGGAGGAGATGGCCAAAACACATTCAATGTATCAACATCTGCTGCTATTGTTGCCTCCGGAATTCCACATTTAAAGATATGTAAACATGGAGGGAAGGCCTCGACTTCTAATAGTGGTGCTGGTGACTTGATAGGTAAACTAGGGTGTGATATTGCAAAAGTTACTCCACAAACAGTCCCACAACTATGGAATGACAATGATTTTTTGTTTTTATTAGCACCTTACTTCCATGATGGAATGTCTCTAATGGCACCATTAAGGAAATTACTGGGGATTCCTACAATCTTCAATGTTTTGGGTCCTTTATTACACCCGGTGGATCACGTTAACAAACGTGTCCTTGGGGTATACTCTCATGATTTAGGAGAAGAGTATGTCAAGGCTGCTGCCATGGTATACCCAGAAAGCGAAATATTTGTCGTTTGGGGGAATATAGGTTTAGATGAAGTATCACCCATTGGGAAGACTACAGTTTGGCATTTCAAGAAAGATATCGAGTATCAACAAAACGTTTTCCAAAAATTCGATATTGACTCCTCAATGTTTGGTCTTCAGGAACATCAGTTAACAGACTGCCTCTCATTAGGACCTGCTGAAAATGCACGTATACTAAGAGATGAAATCCTTTCTGGGAAATATAAATTGGGAGACAACCACCCAATATACGACTACATCCTGATGAATACCGCCGTGCTATACTGTCTGGCAGTTGGCAATCACGATTGGAAGACTGGTGTGGAGATGGCAGAAGCCAGCATACAGTCCGGTGCAGCATTACAATCCTTACAATGCTTTATAGACTCAGTACAGAAGTTATAAAACGCTTGCCCATCTCGACCGCTTCCGACTCTCAAATAACATAGAACACTTGTAATCTATATACATACATAAGCCATTTTACATAAGTTTCACCTTATGCAAACCCCACCTTCCCCCAAGCCCTTGACAATTGCTATCTTTCTCAGCAAGTTGTCGATTACATTCTTCTATAATCAAAAGAGAATGGTTGGTTGTTGCTATTGCCGTTCAGCGTTTGGACAGAGGAGTGCTCTTCTTCTCTATTTTTGTTTGTGACGCGAAATTTTTTGAAAATAACAATGAAATTCCAATTTCTTCTAAAATAAACAAACTTAAACCATTTAAACATGTCAGTAAAAAACGGAAAGAAGAGGTGGAGTTGGTAGGCTTACTGTGAACTCTGAAGCTGAATTACATCTGTTGGAGAAGAGAGTTACCAGAAGTGACACAATTATACATACACACTCATGAGCAACACTGAGATCAACTCAAAGAATTCGGAGTTTACGCCCATAGGGTATCTATCAAATAAACGCCGGAAACTATCAAACGACAAGGATGCATTGAAATCACCCTCTTCAAAATATGCTGCTGACGTCAATGAGGATGCCGAGTTAAGTTTTGATGAGAATCTGGAGGACCTAGAGGAAGATGATTCACCGTCAAGGAAAGTACCTCGGGCTGTAGATGATGATACAATGAACTCTAATAATCTTTTCACTGAAAATTCACAATTCGAGAATGATTCTTTACCTGAGATACCTGATGTTACAAAGACAAATAGTACTGCTACTACTACTACTAATAACGGTAGTGGTTACAATGTAGAACAATATCCAAAGAACTTATTATCGAATTTGAATAATGCTACCATGTCTGAACCTATTAAAGAACAACAAGAGATGACGAAACTGTTATTATCAGGTAAAAGATTATCTAACGCACAGATAAATTTTTTCTTGCAATACTTGAAGAGTAACAACGTGTTGGGAAATAATAATAATAATAGTAACCCAAGTGGTTCATCAAATGGAGATTATAAAGCCGACCAAGAAAGGTACAACGCATTATATGACGATTATCAAGTATTACAAAGGAAATATTCAGATCTTGCTGATAGTAATACTCATATGAATGATGACAATGAAGATGACGACACAAACAATATAGAAGCTCCTGATCATAGTGAATGTGAACTTAAACAGAAACAATTGGAAGATAAGATAGAAGGTTACAAGAAAGAATTATCCATCTTAAAAGAACAACACCAAAAAAAGATTCAAGAATTAAAGAAAAAGAATGAAAAATTGAATACCGATATTGAAACACAACGTGCTACCACAGAAGATCAAAAATTGGATAATGATAGTAATTTAAGAAAATTAAGAGAAACAATTAATAAACTTGAGGATGATGCTCAATCATTGGAGAGAAAATATAAGGCAAAGATTAACGATTTAGAGAATCAACTATTGGATTTAAGAAACGGACAAAAACATTCTATAACTGAGTTGGAGAATCAATTACATTCTAAGGACCTGAAGATATCAAGTTTTGAAGCTCAAATTAAAGATTTAACAGAACAAAAAGATATAACATCACATAAACTAACCACAGTGACAAAAGAATTAGATGGAAAAACACAAGAATTTGACCAATATAAATCGCAAGTGAACAAAAAAATCTCTAATGAGCAAATAAATGACAAAGAAATACATGACAATACTCAAAAGACAATTCAAAAATATGAAAAGGAGGTCGAAACGTTATCTAAAACAAAATATGATATCGAAAAAGAATTACAAGACTATAAAGAAAAATTGGATAAAACAGAGAGAAATCTAAGTGCATTCAAGGAAAAACATTCTATGGAGGTAAAATATTTACATGAATCACTTGACAAACTAAATGAAGATTCTAAGAAGACTTCGATAACTATAAAAACGTTGAAGGAACAAATATCGGACAAAGATAATGAAATATCTCAAAATGTCTATATGATCAAAAGACTCAAAGAAAAGATCAATTCAACTGAGGAGCAGACTACCGTCGTGAGATCTACAAACCTACAGAATGAACTTGATGATAAATCAGAAGAAATTAACCAATTGCAAACACGCGTCAATCAATTAGAAATATCAAGAAAAGATCAAATACAAGAATTAAAGATGGCAAATGCCAAATTATCCATTTTAAATGAAAAGGTTACAGATGCCGAAGATGAACTCAAATCTACTCAAGAAGTACTAAAATCTATGGAACGAGAAGCAAAGGAGAAGCAATGTAACTTAGACGAGGCTAATAAATTGGTGGAAACATTACAAAAAAGTTTACACTCTTCATCTAATGATAAGGAGTCGAATTTTACAGACTTGAGACAAAAATTAAAAGAACAAGAAGAAAAATTGAAACGTGCTGAAGTTAAAAATAAAGAATTATCCGAACAAATCATTCAAAATACCGTAGATTCAATAAAGAATGTGAATAGTGACTTAGAGGAGAAAAATGATCATATTAAAGGTCTAGAAAATAATGCAAATTTTTACAAACAAATGTTAAAGACTTTGGAAGAGAAGGTTGAAAATTACGAGAATTTATTAGAAGAATTGAAGGATCATCGTAACGATGGAACAACTGACCAAAAAGATGAAATTAAAAGGTTGAATCGAATGTTACAGACAAGAAGCAAGGAATTGCATAAATTAGACATTCAAATGGTTAGCCTTAAGAATACTAATCAACTATTACAAAAGAAATTGGTTGAAAATTCAGTACATATGGAGACATTAAATGAGCAAGATAAACAAATCAATAATTTGGAACTAAATGTAGAAAAGTTAAAGAGGGAATGTCATGAACTCAAGAAAATGAATAAAGAACAAATTGACCAAATTGAGGATCTTCTGAAACAAAGAAAGTTGGTTAATGAAAATTATAATATCATAAATAATTTGAATACCGAATATAAGAACGAACTGGAGGCAACTAAAGGAGAGTATATAAGCAGAGAACATAACCTGAAGGAGAGAATACTTGATTTGGAGAGTAGCAATATGAAGTTGAATGAAGCCTTAAACAGAGAGCAAGTATCTAATGAATCTCGTTCCAGAGATACAGATCTACGTGATTATTATCGTTTGAAATATCACAGAGAAGTGCGCCATAACAATGATCTCCGGATGATCAATTATTACTTGACTCGTGTTTCTCAAAGAACAAGTACACAAATGAAAATGGATTATCGAAAATATAACAGAATTCTATCGGATTCCAGAAAATTTGAAGAATCATTAAATGATTATGATTACATAGAGCAACCACGATTTGATCCAGGATTGAGATATAATTATAAAAATTCATCAAATACAAACTCAAGGAACGACATAAGGCCGGAGCCCTCTAGATATGCGGACAATTCAAGTCCCTTGTATTTTAATTCACCAAGATTGAAATTCAAAACATTAGCGAAGTTCGTTCAGGCCTGTGTCAGAATGAAACAGGTTGCGTTAAAGAACCATTGGGATGAACAAAGAATAAGACATTTAGAAAGACGTATCGATTCATCAGATAACAGTACCAATTGGACCTTGTAAAAGATTCTATCATCTATTCTTTATATATAATATTTTATGTATTTCTATACACCATTTGCATTATATGAGGAAGGGTTGTAATTATAACTATAAAGCCAAATGTCAAACAAACTAGAAATAATAGTATTTAGAAACTAATGTTAGCACGATTAATTAACAGGGGAGATATTATGGTTGTATATCGTTTGTGTGACCACCATTTGTTTTCAGTGTCTTTAATTGGTTGAATATAGTATCCAACCGTTGTTTGAAGGTATCTGATATAAAAGTTATCTGCTCTAACATATCAAAATAATTTTCCAATTCACTACATTTTTCTAACAGACTTTTAAACTCAGCAACATTTTTGTCAATTATACCCTCAACAATATCATTCCTAATAGTTGCCTCGTGTTGCTGGCATATATCATGCGTCTGTATCTGTATAGACTGTACGTAGTCATTTATCTTGTACATAAGATAGTCGTAATCGACAGCCAACCTATTAATGCCTAAAGGGTCGTCATTGTTTGACGAATTATTCTTATTAACGTTACCAGTTTCACCGACACTGGATTCATTAGACATTTCCAGATAAAACTATACTCAGTAAGCCATCTATTAGTGGATAGATACACCGACAAGCAAGATTCCTTGACTCAGTGTTTCCTGTCTCTGTTATTCCATTGATAGTATACCAACAAAATTAATTTATATTTCAAATTAATCAAGCCTCTTTTGCCCTTCTAGGAAATTGTATATCACGACAGAAAAAAGGAGACAACACACATTTTTTGGAAGAGGAAGAGAGATAAACAATTTTGATGCGTGAACGACCTAGATAACAGAGAGAAAGACTACAAGGTAAGAACCCATTCTCGAACCATTCATAACTATTAGAATCAAGCGATAAAAATTAACTGGCTACAATTATTATCGTGTTTCCTTCGTTAGTGCGTATTAAAATAAAAGTGATCCTTAACTTTGATAATTGATTAGGGGCAAGTTTTCAAAAGAAGCTTAGAGATACATCAACAATTTTTTCCAAAAAGTATTACAAGTAAGTACAAACTACAATGTCTCACGGTGTTTATCTTGGTGATACTCCAGTAAGAAGACCTGGTGTTTCTACCAATCCATTAATGCGGAAAATTCAAAGGGCGTGCAAGATGACTCTTCCTGAACCTGATATCGCTTTAAATCTGGATGTTGCTGACTTTATAAATGAAAAGCAAGGTGCAGCAGCTCATGATGCTACAACTACGATTGTGAAATTGATCAATAGTCGAGACACTCACACTGCGGTTTTTGCGTTGTCTTTACTAGATGTCCTAGTGAAAAATTGTGGATATCCAATACATTTACAAATATCTAGGAAAGATTTCTTGAACGAATTGGTTAAACGATTCCCAGAACATCCTCCAATGCGTTACTCAAAGGTCCAAAGATTGATTCTAACTGCCATTGAAGAATGGTACCAGACCATTTCCAAACATTCTCCATATAAGGATGATATGACATATATCAGAGATATGAGAAGATTGTTGAAATATAAAGGGTATGTACTACCAAAGATCCAAGCGGAGGATCTGGCTGTTATGAGACCTACCGATCAATTAAAGTCAGTTAGTGAAATTCAAAAGGAACAAGAAATTGCTCAGGCTGCTAAATTGGAAGAATTAATTAGAAGTGGTAAACCAGATGATTTGAGAGAAGCAAACAAACTTATGAAAGTAATGGCAGGTTTTAAGGAGGATAACATGGTCAATGCTAAACAATCCATCAACACTGAATTAAACAAACTAAAACGTAAAGCCGATTTGTTGAACGAAATGTTGAATACTTCATCTGAAGCAGATTTACAAAATAATGAAACCATTGATGAATTGTACAGTGCTCTAAAGGCTTCGCAACCAAAATTCCAAAAAATCATTGAAGAAGAACATGAAGATGATGACTTAGTCCAAAGTCTTTTGAAATTCAACGATGCCATAAATCAATTGATTGAAAAATACTCCTTATTGAAGATCGGTAACAAAGAGGCTGCGGAAAGAATTAATCTAACAAACTTAAATGACATTTCTACTGCATCCCAAACAGGGGGAGCTTTAGCAAATGAAATTAACTTAATCGATTTTGATGATGATGCGGGCACCACCACCCCAGGCCAAGTTCCAAACTCTACTGATTCCAACAGTAATAATAATAATAATAACAATTCAGATCCCCTAATTGATTTATTAGGTGACCTAAACTTATCATCAACTCCAAATACATCCTCTACTACTACATACAATAACCAAGCAGCAGCCGTAGAAATGGGTGGTGGTATATCATTAGGTACCACTGCTCCACCATCTGCCAACACTAATGTCCCGATATCTTCCTCTTCTGGTGATCCATTTGATCTACTAAGTGACTTCTCTTCTCCTAATGCATCCACACCAGCAGCTAGTTTGTCGGTTCCGACTGCAGTTGCTACTTCTCCAACGTTGCCTAGCGCTCCTGTATCTGGAAATGGTTCAACCAGGATCAACGTAAGTAAATCAGCTAATATTAAAATTGATCTAGTAGTTTCAAGAGAAAGCAACTCTACCATAAAGATTAAGACAATTTTTAGTAACCCTTCCGCAAACTTGGTCAAAGACTTGGTATATTCTATGGCAGTTCCAAAATCTTTTACCTTGAAATTAGAACCGCAGTCGTCGAGTGCTCTTGGATCATTTGTTGAAGAAGGTGTATATCAAAACGCATTGGTCGAAAACGCTGTTAAGGAAAATCTTGAGAAGAAGCCATTAAAAATTAAATGGAAGGCTACTTACAATATCAACTCAAGCCCTGTGGAAGAAACTGCGATTTTCCAATTGCCTATTGTGTAAAATAAACCAATTTAGTTGATCTTAAAACTCAGAAATATGCTATTCTATTAAATATAATTAATGTATACATATATATTATAATTGTGAAGGCCAGATTCCAACAATCACATGTAAAAAACCCTTACGTGTACCTGAATGTAGGTCTTATTGTAATGCTGATATCAATTATCTTCCAACAAATTTATATCTCTTAAAAAATCTTACATAGTACAATCTACATAGTAAAAATATATATTTCGAAATCTTTATCTGTAAAAATATATGCACAATAAACATTCTAAAGACCCATTCTATTTCTGGAATCTCTGTAAAATTTCAGATGGGGTGGGCGACTTTATTTTTGTTGAATTGGCATTATTAGAACCACCCATAGTTGGTGGTTGTAAATGTCCTTGTTGAATAGAAGGACTACTCAAGGTATTTTGTGTTGTTGCAGCAGATGAATTCCCTGGAGAAGGAACCTGTGGTTGAACAACATGTCGTTGTTGCTGCTGCTTTGGCTGTAGAGGTGTTTTTACTTGTTCCGATTGTTCCGATTGTTGCTGTTGCTGTTGCTGTTGCTGTTGCTTCAAATGCATTTGCTGTTCTTTGACCTTTTTGACATAATTTTCGGCAGTCTTCCATGCCATACCTGGTGGAAGTTCTGGATTCTGAGCTAAGATTTTTTTTGTATAATTTAAAATAAGTATCATTTCAGGATTATTTTTATCAATAGGAGGTATGGAATTAGATATTCTAGAATCTGAAATAGGTTTTCCGGTAGATTGTTCAGAAGAAGGATCTTTAGCACTCCCCCCATTAGGAGGTCTCGAACCTACCTTTTCTCTTTGAAGTTGCGCTTGTTGTGCAGCTAAAAATTGTTTTTGTTGGGTTCTGTTCTTAACATTTCTTCTAAACTGAACGTCTCTACGTAAAGCTTCGTCTCTTTGAGCTTTCAATTGCGACATCTCAGCTGGTGTAGGAATTTTCATATTTTTTGTATCCAATGGCTTTCTAGGTTGCGATTTGTTTGGTTTTGGAGCGTTCTCTCTCTTCTTAATTGTTTTTCTCATCACTTCAAACATGCTTGCCCATCTTAATCTCTTATGACCTCTTTGTATCGATTCTTCGCCGACACCAAGAGGAGAAATCCTTCTATTTTGTCTCTGTTGAAATTTATGTGCTTCAATTAGCCATTGTTGTGCACTATGTGCTCTAGGACCTTTCATGTCATTAAAAGTGAAACGTTCGTTCAATTGAACAAATCTTTCAAAACATTGCCAAGGCGTTCTAATTTCAATATTGGACAGATAAGATCTTGTCGGTCTATGTATCATTTGAGAACTAATTAATTCCCAATTATACGAGTAGGCATTAATATTCTTAACCAATTCTTTATCATCTTCTGGAAGCCAAATTGTAGGTGTTCTGTTTCTCAAATATCTTAATGATGGAACAGCTGGCGGTCTCAAATAATGATTTCTTCTGTTCGCATAAAACATGCCTCTTCTTTTGCTTAGTTGGTTCAAAGATTGCTCGTCATTCATCACCTGTTTTTCGATTACTTTAAAAAAATGATCATCATCTAGAGTCATCATTGATTTAGAAATCGGAACAAACGGCGTATCTTTTCTATTAGGTCTATCATTTTCTTTATCAATCCCCATATAAATTGGTATTTCTTTAGTTAAGTTACGTTCAGCAGTTGTTAAATCATCCATTGAGATATATAATTTGAAAGGATACATCTCTTTACTACGAATGTCTTTATCATCTTGGGTAGAGGTCTCTGAAACTATCGATAATTGGCTTATTTCTGCAGCACAATCAGGTGCCACATTTAATAAGTTTGGATTAATGACTTGCTTTGGTGGTTCTGTGACATTTTGAGAAACTGATTCAGGATCAACATTGCCTAATTTCTTTTCTGTATTACTTATTTGTGCCTGTTCTAAATTATCATTACCATTTTCTTCCTCTTTTGTTTCAGAAGTCATACCATCACGCTTATCATCAGAAGTAACTACAACATTAATTTTTTCTGTAGAGATATCTGATTTTTCATTTACATCTGATGTTAAAGTTTCAAGACTTTCGTCAACATTTGTATCAACATTTGATTCAGTTAAAGTTAAAGGTGCAATATCTACAATTGGTTCAGCTTCTGAATTACTTATTCTAGGTACAGATGCTTCCGTTTCAATTTCTTCTGTTTTCTCAATCAAATTGTTATCTGTATCAGCAACTGTTTCGCCTGGTTTGTCATCTTCTATTATTGGTGAAACCACTGATGAGAATAAAACTGTCGGATTTGACTCTGCTGCAGAAGTTTCTGGTGTAGGAGTTGATGTATCTGTTTCTTCCTTTATTGCATTTGCAGTATCTGATAGATGTACAATTGGTTTTCTCTTTATACAACACACTTTTCCATATGTCCAGTAATCCATAACCGCTTGAGCTAAAGTTACACATGCGGCAATTCTATAATTTTTACCTTCTTTAAAATCAGCTTGCATCCATTTAGCTTCTTCTAATAGACGAGTATAATGTGTATGATCATTATTCCAAGGATCAATAAATAATTTTGGTTGTCTTAAACACCATAATGATAATCTTCTTAATTCTTCAATTCTAGAACCAACTACAGTAACTCTTGCTTCATTCAAAGCATTATTTATTATATCTGTTGTGAGTACTTTATGAGCTCTAGGGACCAAATCAATTAATGGTAAAGTTTGTGCCATATATTTTAATTCTGCCAATGGGATAGAATGTGGAATCTTTGAAGGTACTTGATCCTTTGTCATTAAATATACTATATCCTTGACATTGATATCTTCACTCTTATAAAAATTTGATGAGTTAGTCTTTGGTTCCCTTAATTTATTTGAGACAGAGTCTTCATATTGTGGTTTAGTCTCTACTGGTGTTGGTTTTAATGGTGGAATATATAAGTTTGAATAATAATTGCTACGTGCCTGTTTTGCAGCTGCAATAGCAGCTACCACAGCAGAACTTGGTGGATTATTGTTTTGTAGAGTGGGAAGTAATCTTTGTTTATCGTTAGTTTTTGAGGAGTCTCTCTTTTGTTTCTTTATCAATACCTCATCATCATCTTTATTATTATTATCATTTTTATTATCAGTAGTAGTAATATCTTTTGTCTCTGATGCACTATTTTTCCTCTTTAAAGATGATGGTGATGTTGATATAATAGATTTATTTATCACATCATCTGATGATTTTGAGAAATTAACTAAATCTGAATGTGTTTCATTCTTTTCAAGTATTTGATGTGACACGGTTGTAGGTGTTGGAGAAGATGCTGTTGATACAGCCAATGCAATCGAAGAACGTTTCCTACTCTTATTTCCAGTAGTTGTAGTATTAGAAGTAATATTTTTTTTAGTAATATTACCTGTACTAAGACTCTTTCTTGGATATAATGAATTTGAAACATTTGATAAAGATGGTGAAGGATTTGGATAATTGAAATAATTTACTTTAGGTAAACTTTCAATTTGGAATCTAATATTCTTCATAATATCATTTTTATTCAAACACTCATTCATATCACTATTTAAAGCTTTCGAATCCTTAATATTTAATAAATCACTCAGTCGAGAAACGCAATATAATTCTATAATCTTACTATTTCTCAATTGAATCATTCGATCCAAATGAGCTCTTGACGAACCTTTAGTAGTAGCAGTAGATGATTTAGATCGGAGATTACCATTGCCATTACCATTATTATTAATAATATTGTTGTTGTTGCTTAGAACAGTACCATTAGAAATATCTGTGGGAGATTGCGATGAATTGGAATGATTAGTAGTTGCCATATTTGTTGTCTCTAAAATAAACACGCACACTCACACACAAACCAACAAAACAAAACAATAAAAAGGATGGATTAGCTCCCTATGTATTCTTTATGATGAATTGGACAGAATGATTTAGGAAGTGAATCTAAATACCGGATATATCGAACCCTCTCAGTTTGTCTTTCTTTGTTCTTTGTCTTAATTTCTTGATCTCTGTATGTAAAAAACAAACAAAGAAAAAAATATTCAAATTGCCGCCCTTACAGTTGTTGGTGTGCTCTTCCCTCAAAAAAAAAAAAAGAGCCTAGTAAATTTGTCCTTTTTACCTTCGTTTGAACGCTTTATGGGGAAACAAACAGAAAAAACAGAACCAGCACAGCACAGCACTCGTCGTTATCTTTATACGTTTATATATATATATAGATCGGGATACGTATAAATATAGCTGTGTTAGCTAGCTTGAAGAAGCAAAGGATATAATACACACACAGGAGCTATAATAATAATAATAATAATAATAATAACAACAATAATAACCCTATCTCTTATCTGTATCTTCTAATGGTTTTTAGCAGTCCAAAATCCATTATTTCCTCTCTTTTTCTCCTCCCGTTGGCGTTGTCATCGTCGTCGTCGTCGCGAAGAATTTTTCTTTTTTTTTTGGTGAGAAAGGCGGAAAAGACAGTTGTGGCACCTCGTGCAGGATGATGTTGCACGTGATATGCGATTAGGCATACAAATAGTTTGTTATATTGATATATCTATATCTATCTAAATCTATATCTACACAATTCTATATAGATCGATGAGGAGTGATGTGATACTATTTTCACCATTGAGATATCTCTGTCTCTAGGTCTGCTATACCGTTCATTAGTCCGTCGTGGTCTAGGATCATGTATGTGCTGATGACACCCTTTCTTGCGTCGGATTGGAATTGTACTTTTGCATATTTTTCTAAGAATCTATCTTCTTCATGGAAATAATCAACTTCAACATCCTTTACTCTTTTAGTAGAACGAATAGTGGTTTCATCGGTATCAAAGTTTACTTCATATTTCCTACTAACAATCACGTAGAAATCAAAATGTTCTTTGCCTCCATTAGAGGAATTCTTAATATCATCCAATGTAATCTTATATAGAGGTGGAACAATTTCAGGTGGCATATTAATCAATCTTTCACTTATCACTAAAGCGCAGTTCTTGTCATTAGAATTATCTATGGTTCTGAAAAATGTAGATAATTTAGTATTCACGCTATTTAAATATTTGGCATAATCACTATCACGATTCTCCTTATAATCAATAAATGAAATAAAACAATATGGATCCGATTCAGTACCATCTGTCTTAATGGTAGTCATTGGAGAAGCAAGCATCAAATCAGCTAATGCACTAAGTTGAATCTTATTACTCTCTTGCGCACCAAATAATTGTCTGGACAAGTTTTTCAATGCTTGGAAATCAATGTCAGGGTTTGCATTATAAAAATCAAAGTCAATATTAACTAGCTCTTCCTTATCTTCATCATTGTCGTCGTTACCCTCGTTCTCTGAGTCAGTACTACTGATATCAATCTCAGATTCTTCCTCTTGTCCGTTTTCATCTTCTTCGTTACGTCTCTTTCTATTAGCCAATTCGCTTAATTTAAGAGCTTGAACCATTGTAAAATTGTTTTGTGTTAATACTGATATCGGTACCTCTCTCCTTTTTTGCTTCTTCTAATATAACCTATTATAAGAGCTCATCTCATCTCATCTTAAACAGTTTTTAATTATTGAATAAAATATTGAAAATTTTCAATATTTCAAAATTTTCTATACGGAGAAACGTTCGCACAACATGAGCGAAGAGGGGAGATGAATTATTTTGAAGCTCATCACCTAGACGATTCTTTTTTTTTTTGTTTGCTTATTAAAGCATATATTATGACACGGAAGAAGTAATCAATTTTGCTGTTGGGAGGAAACTACAAGTCATTAAACATTTCCTATTGATCAGGTTAGTGATACTACTTCAATAATATATATTATCTTTTTCTTTTTCCTGGTTTAAAAACGATGGGTGATGAACAAGAGCTGCTGAAACAGATTAGGCAATTAAAACTAGAAAATTCACAATTGCGCAATCAATTAGAAAATGGTGGGGTTTTAGGAAAGAACACCATAGATGGCGATGTCAATACAGCTACAGCCACCCAGTATCCATTGACGTTGGATGAATACCATAGATACGGTAGACAAATGATAGTAGAGGAAACCGGAGGTGTAGAAGGACAAATCAAATTGAAAAATGCTAAAGTATTGGTTATTGGTGCTGGTGGATTAGGTTGTCCATCTTTACCGTATTTAGCAGGAGCAGGGATAGGGACAATCGGGATTGTAGATAATGATACTATTGATACATCCAATCTACATAGACAAATTCTTCATTCTACTAATAATGTTGGTATGTTAAAATGTGAATCTGCCAAGAAATATTTAAATATGTTAAATCCAAATGTCAAAGTGATTACTTACCCTGTACGCCTAGATAATAATAATGCGTTTGACATCATGAAAGATTACGATCTTGTCCTGGATTGCACAGATACACCAGTTACAAGATATTTAATATCAGATGTTGCTGTGAACTTGGGAATGACTATTGTTTCCGCCTCAGGTGTGAGAACTGAGGGTCAACTGACAATATTAAACTTCAAGAACGTGGGTCCTTGTTATAGATGTTTCTACCCGGTCCCACCTTCTCCAAATTCCGTATCATCTTGCTCCGAAGGTGGTGTTATTGGTCCTTGTATTGGTCTTGTAGGGGTAATGATGGCCGTGGAGACCATTAAGCTTCTTCTGGATGCTTACACATTGGATAACTGGGAACCATTTCTAATGCAATATTCTGGATTTCCTAAACAAACGTTAAGAACGTTTAGAATGCGTGGAAGAAAGAATAATTGTAAATGTTGCGGTACAAATCCAACAATCAATAAACAAATGATTGAATCTAATGAGATCGATTATCAAGAATTTTGTGGGGCTCGTAATTATAATGTTTGTTCTGATAATGAACGTATTACAGTAAAGGAATTTGAAGAATCATATCATAAAATCGATAAGAAAGATTACATATTATTAGATGTGAGACCTCCACATCATTATGATATTTCTCATCTTTCATACACTTACAATGTTCCAGTCAAGTCTCTTCGGAATATGAATGGGTCACTAGAACAATTACAAGAAGTTATCCCAGACGTTAATAAAAATAGTGAAATTGTTGTGATGTGCAGATTTGGGAACGATTCACGTTTGGCAACAAGATTATTAAAAGACG